CCTCCAGAGCAGGGCTAAAAAATAGACCAAAGAACAATTCCATTTTACAGGCAGAAAGCAAGTCCCACAGCAACTCCTGTTTCGCCTGTGGAAGCAGCCAGGAAGGACATGCACGTGTCCTCACACCTGGGTCAGCTCAGGTAACTGGACAGGGAAAACTCCTCAGGCTTCACCTGCCTCCTTAACACACAGAAGTGCAAAAATCCCAGCCAGTTAAGCCTCTGCCTGTTAGAAAAAAATAAATACCACATGCAGAGCAAAGCAGACCCAACAGCCCTGCAGATACCCCTGCTGGCTCAGCTGCTGTAAAGGCTGTTGGAAACATCATCAGGATCAGCTGCCCTTGGATAACTCCCCCTCCCTGAGCTCTGCCAGGGGTGGGTGTTGCTCTGCTCCCCCCAGGGCTGCCCTGGGTGCTGAGCTTGATCCTCTTGCTCTCTTTGCTGCATCCTGAGGTTTGGCTGCTGGTCCTGCCCCTGGGCAGCATCCCTAAGGTGGTGGGGGGAAGCTGCTGCAGGAGTTTGGGATGAGCAGCCCCGTCCCCACTCCATCCTCACAGAAAAACTGAGCTGTTCTGGGTGCTCACACTCTGTCTCAATCGTCTGCTGCTCTTTTTGTGGATCTTCTAAACATTCCTCTCCATGTCTCACCTGGTGGAGTCACAGCTTTGTAGCTCCAGCACTAAATCATGGACTTTGTTATATGAAAAGAGGTGAAAAAGCTGCCATGGCTTCTGTGTCTGGCACTGCCAGAAACAGTCAGATCCTTCCTCAGATCTCTGTTTTCTCCTAATAGCAGATCAAAGCTTCTCTCAGCAGCGAGGCTCTGAGGCATTTGCTGCAACCATCAGTTATTGAGTGCAAATCACAACTGGCAAGTCAGCATGGACGTGTTAGTGTCACCTTGAAGCATGATCAAGATGCAAGTTAAATGTTCTAGCCAGGTTTAAGTAACTAAAATTAGTATCCCGTAATTTATTCCTTCAGGTGTGGTACCCCCCTGCATTTCTGGGGTCCCTTTGGACGAAGATTTAGTCACAGTACCCCAAGATTTCTGAAAATCACTCCTGTAAGTTAATTATACACTTAGACTACAGGACTTTAAAGGCCAGGTTGGACAGGGCTTGGAGCAACTTGGTCTAGTGGAAGGTGTCCCTGTCCATAGCAGGGGCTCAGAATAAGGTGAATTTTAAAGTCCTTTCCAACCCAAACCATTCTGTGATTCTGTGGCTTTGGCTCGTTATCTGAACATCTCCCTCCATCTGAGATCTGCCTCTCAGCACAGAAAGAAGGTCATCCAAGATCCACTGCAGCCAAAGAAGGCAGGGGAGAGGCTGAGGGGAAACACAGCTTGGCTTGGTCACTGCAAAGCTGGGCTCACGCCCCTGCCCCTGTTTTTGCACCTTACCCACCTGCAGTGTTGCAAAGGTCACATTTGGAAGGTACAAACATCTTCTTGGACCTGGAAACCAGCAGCACCAACTGGATGTTCTTTGCAAGAAGCCTCTGAAGAACCTCAACGATGCGGATCCAGTGGCTGCTGCTGGTGTTGGCGGGAAGGGACCTGCAATTCCTGCAGGGCTTTCCAGAGGATCCATCACCTTCCTGCACATCCCTGGAGTGAAACCCATGGAGGGAAGGACGAGAGGGTGAGCAAAGTGTCCCTCATGTTTGCTTCCCCCAGCATCTCCCCACAACAGTGCCCTGAGGATGAGTTTGGGGGTTGGGGAGCTCACCAAAAAGCAGGAAAAATGTTTGTTCCTGAATTCATCTCAGGGTTAGAAGATCATCAGAAGCAAAGTCTCCTCTGGCAACATTTCCGCTGGTGTGGAGATGGGGAGCAGGTGGCCACCTGATGTTCTCACCCAGATCCAGCCACCGAAATCCCCAGGCTGGCTTTTTTGGCACTGTTGGATCAAGTGGAGATTCTCACTAAGGGAAAAAAAAAAAATAAAAAAATTCCAGGCCTGGAAGTTCTCTTCCTGCTGGGTTTGGTTTATATTTTACAGTATATATTACCTTTAAGCACTTGCACAGCTCCTCTGATGAACTCTTTGGGCTCCTCAGGGTGGTGGAGAAATCCTGCTGCAATCAACTTCAAGAAGACATTCACATCACGTTGGTTTAGGTGGAAACAGTAAACTTGATTTATTGAAAAAAAAATCTATTACATTTATTCCTTTATTACACAGGTTTAAAATATTTAAAAATAGCTCTTATGGGCATTACACTTAAATTTTATGACATGTTTATTGGACTTTGAAGAAATGTACAATATGTCATTTGACACTATATTTTAAAAAGGGCCTTATGTACTAAAAATTTTTTTTTCCATAGGTTTTATTTTTCTTATCAACATTTGTTCAAGTCATATATATTAAGGGAGGAGGGAAATAAAATTACACAAAAAGAAGGTCTGCAAATACAAGTAGTAATTTTATTGCAATATACCGTAGCTAAGTGGTCTGGGGAAATCGGAACAGTTTGGAGCTCAGTACAATTACAACACTGTGGAATTCAACAGAGGAAATTTTTTTTTTTTTTTTTGTACTTAAAGCGAAGAAATAAAAGGAAAAAAAAATAAAAGAAAAAAGCTCCCTTGATGAAAATTTATAACAGAATCACATGACCTAGACGGACGCACACGTGTGGACATACATCAATATATGGCTTTGCTGTTGCAGAGAGGAATGTGCAACCTTTCCTGACCTTCCCGCTGTTCCTGAACAAGGCTGTTGCCAAGGTGACTGAGAAGCTGAATTCCTTATATATTATTATATATTCCTTTTCACCGCTTTGCTGCCGGAGTCTGCAGTTTTTAAGGGTAGCACCTTTTTAGTCTTTTATTCCCCAAAATGGAAAAAAGAAAAAAAAAAAAAAAAAACAAAAAACAACCCCATGAGAGAACACTCCAGAAGAAGGGAGATGGATGGACACGGCTCTCCCAGGCCAAAAAGCACCACGCGGCATCGCCGCTCCCTCCAGCACGGCTTGGCCTCCCTTCCTCGGATGCTGCTGCTCTCTGCTTGGGAAGGAGGGAGGAAAAGACATCATATATAGGCTTTTCTTCACAGTAAATGTGATGTCTTTTCCTTTATGGTGAAAGATCCCCCTTGGCTCAAGCGTTGCCGTAACACCCCAGGCCAAATAATAATAATAAAAAAAAAGACACCCCCGCCCTGCAACATCTATTTTTTTCCAGCTGAGAGGTCTAAACAAGGAAAACGGCCACAGAGAAAAAAAAAACAAATGGAAAAAGAAGATGGTGTCAGCACGTTTGTGAGCCGTGGAAGAAGAAAAAAAAAAAAGCCACGGTGGGAAGAGAGCAAGAGAATTGCAGACTCCCGGCAGCACCCACACGGCTCCGGCACCGCGCGCGTCAGGACACCCGACATCTACATAAATTAGCACCACAAACGTTCAGCACTGAGCACAATCTGCTCTGGTTACCACCGGGAAAACGTGTGGATAGTCTTGGGGGGGAAAAAAAAAAAAAGGAAAAAAAGATGTAGGAAAAGAGGGAAATCATGTTTAGTACCTTTTCTGCACGGACCGTAAAAGCTGCTGCGATACAAAGAAGGAGGGGAGAGGGTCTTCTGCTTAACAGATATGAAGGTGACATGCATTTATAAGTCTGTCTGAAAGTGGTTAAAAAGCAGAGCTGGTGGGAGACTGGCCAGTGGCAGGGTATCACCAGTGTTGTATTAAAGTTATCAAACAGATAGCACCACAGAGACATGTAAAAATAAAAAGCACCTTTTTTTTTTTCCTCCTTTTTTTTTTTTTTATACATTTGATATTCAGAGAGGACAAATGGACTTCCCCTGCCGCTGCAATCTGCCACTGGGGATGGATTTGGTTTTAATTATTATTATATAAGAATGTTGAAGGAAAAAAAAAGAAGAATTAATTTAAAACAAGTATGTTAAGCAAGCGCATAAAAAGGCAGAGACTCGAAGCAGATCCTGCTTTTAGATCAGAGTTTTGTAGGAAATTTGTTAAAAGGTGGCTTTAATTTTCTAATTTTGAAGCGAATCATTCCAAAAGGCAACTCGGGGGGGCTGGTTTGCACCTCATCCTGCCAAGATTCATCCTGGGTTTAACTCCAAGGCTGAGGCAGAAGCAGTGGGGACAGGAGTTTTTATTCCCAGGTGGATGCTTGGCTGGGCTGGTGGTGGGAAGGGCGGTGGGTTCAATACACACAAGGTCACTTGCATGTTTGGAAGGCAGAAACATTCAAACATTTAAAATAATATACAAATACAAATATTTACTTACAAACATATAAAAATATAAGCACCTTTAATACATGGGAAAGAGATGCCCAGTGTGACCTTTAGCTAAAATTTGCGAGAACAAAGAATTAGGCAACTCAGTGGAGATAACTAAAATTTCTGGGATTGGCCATGACACCTCCTTGCTAGAGCTGATTAAAATCTTGTGGAATAACAACAAAATGCCTTCGATGAGCTTTGGCAGGGTTTGGATTGGAGCCAAGACTTCAACACCAAGCTGAACACAGGAGTTTCAAGTTTTTTCCCGTTTTTTTTTTTTTTTTCCTTAGAAACGAACAAACAAACAATAATCTACAGGCAAGTGCTCGCTGTTGCTCACAAGAAGAAAAAGAAGAAGAAGAAGCCTCTGATGGCGGTGGGGTCTGCTCGGTGGCCCTGAAGCGGCAGGGGACAGGTCTCCAAGGCCACGTGTGCGGCGGTCGGTCATGGAATTCTGCGTCTGTGGTGGGAACGATCCCCTCGGTCAGTGACTGTGGGTCAGAGGTGTCCCAGAGGAACTCGGGAAAAACGAAGGGATTGAAAAACAAAAACGACAAAAAAAAAAAAAAAAAAAAAAAAAAAAAAAAAAAAAAAAAAAAAAAAAAAAAAAAAAAAAAAAAAAAAAAAAAAAAAAAAAAAATTAACCCATCGCTGTCCAGTCTCACAACGTGCACGTGACAAGGAATTCTTCTTTTCTTTTTTTTTTCTTTTTTTTTTTCTTTCAAAATTTAATTAAATGGCGCAATGAGGTTACGAGGTTGCTCATTTGGAGACTAGTTTTCAGGTGGCTCTTAGCCCATGAAGCAAGCTGGTCCCACCTCGAATCCAAATTTCTGTGACGCTTCTCCGAAGTCATTGAACATGATGTCGACTATAGGTACTTGCTCTACTTTGGGTGTGTTGATTTCCAGGATGGTTTTCTGATAGCCCTTCTTTGCCTGTTTGGGGAGAAGAGGGAGGAAAAGAGGAGCTCTGGTGATGCCTCCAACCAAACATCATCAAGATATCACGACTGAGCATTCACCACTCAGGGAATGCCCAGAGATACCTTACCCAGGCATTTTTTGACCCAGATTAGTCACCCAGCAACAAAACACGGATTTATTTGCCCTGCAGATTTACCAGACGTGCTCTCAGGTGGGATGGTGACCACTGAGCAAAGCCCTGGGAGATGTTCACCCCGAGCCCAGACTTTGCTGCCACGCAGATCATGACACAGTAACTCTGCTGTCAGCACATCTCCAGGCTGGAACAGGAGCCTGGTAAAATTGTTGTGGCTGTGCAATAGTTGTTTTACCTCCCCGAGGACACGCATGGGTTGTTGAGCAAATGGGAGCGATTTAATTTGAATATATTAGTTTGACTATTACCCGAGCGCTACCAAAAAGATCACATTTAAAGTTTGATGGAATTCACAAGGTGATGTTGTCTTTTTATCGTGCCTGGTAGCCATACAGTTATTTCCAAAATATAAATAATTATTAGAGGAGCAGAAGTGCACCCGAGGGCATACAAGGCTGCACAAACAAGTGAATTTATGGAGCAGCTTTTGGCTCTACCTTTCCCTCTGATTTGTGTGTCTCGGCAGAATTGGCTGTATCAGAGCTACTGAGAAAGGGCTGTAAGATCAGGAAAAACACATTCAAATAATGGTCTGAACATAAGCCCTGGAGATCCCCTGACTGCAGCACAGCCAGAGCGTGGGTCGTACCAGGACCTCTGCGGCAACGCCGCATAAGGCAGATCAACCTTATTTTCCACACAGCAGGGCTCAATCACAGAATCATTTAGGTTGGAAAAGACCTTCGAGATTACCAAGGCCAACCATTACCTCAGCATGGCCAAGTCTGTAACCTGAATCAGGTCTGGAACTCACTCCCACTAATGGATCAAATGCACCTCTGAATTTCTGGCGGGGTTCTAACAGCCTTTTAATTGGTCTAAGATTCAGATTAAAATCATCTTTAATGTAGAGAACCTTTTGTAAACAGCAAACTCCCTTAAATAAATAAATCTAAATAAATTAACCCTGTGGTTTGGGCAGCACAGTCTACCAGGGCACCAGGGAGGCTACAGGAGTCCAGGTGATGCAGAGCCCCCTTCTGCAAGCTACATTTTATCTCCTTTTTACAGCCTGCTTGCAGAGAGGAAGGACTGGGACACACTGATTTAGAGGTGATGCCCAAAGTTTTGAGCCAGGAGATGGTATCTCTGTGCTCCACCATCACACTGGGGCTGGCCCAGCCTCTCCTGGTGCTCCCACAGCTTCAGTTCTTGCCACAATCATTTATTTGCAGCACTGAGACTGGCTGTGTAACAGCTGCCTCTGAGAAACAACCAAGGAATAAATTCAAAGGAGCTACAGTCCTCTTTCCATGTGGATATCACAGAATCCTGGAATGGTTTGAGCTGGAAAGGACTTTCAAGATCAGCTCATTCCACCCCCCTGCCACGGGCGGGGACACCTTCCACAATCCCAGGTTGCTCCAAGCCCTGGCCTAGTATTCCTCATCAGGAAGAGAAATGATGGCATATTTAAACCCAAAGGGTTTTCAGCAGGCACATCCACCCTAAAAAGTGCAATGTGTGATCCTACAGCATCTCTGAGACTTCAGAAGGGGAAGGGAGGCACTTTTTACCAGGGACACGTTGCGTCAGCAGGAGACATGAAGTACTTGAGGATAAACTTCTGAGTGTTTCCAGAAGCAGACTGGATGCCCTTTCCCTCTCCACGAACATGCTAAAAGAAGTGATTCTAATCTGATTTTCCTCATTGCTCCTACAGTAAAAATCGTGTTTGTGCCAGAACAGAACCATTTTCATCTCAAATTATGTGGGGAGCTTTTTCTGTCAAACATCTCAATCTTTCTGTCCCGTGGGCTTCAAGCACTGCAGTTCCAGAGGGTGGGAATTATGCATGTTTTTGCACCAGCAAGCTGGGTCTCAAAATAAAGGCAGGCAGCACCTGCTTTGCCAAATTTTTATCTCCCGATGGCAGATTTTTAAGAGTTTAAACCCAAATCAGGCATTCAATAGAAAGAGGCAGAAGCAAAGGGAGGGTGCTGGGCCCTTCTGGAATCTGTGGCTGCTGCTTGTGGCTGAAGGGAAGGTGAGGAGCAGGGTGTGCTGGAAGGGGAGGGGAAAGCTTCACTCAGGGCAAAAAATCTCCCCTGATTAGAACTGGATGCTCTCCCATGACCAGCACAGCCCAGAGCCTTACTGGGACTGCACACAGAAAAAACCCATCCAATCCAATGCCAAGCCCTTAACACTCTCCCCAGTCCAAGACTTCCTGAAAGCAGTTAAAAAGATCATTATCAAAACCTGCAAAACTCATACACGACCGGGTGTCATCGCTCACCTTACCCCGTGTGAGGAAACAGGGGAGAGCAAAGGCAAGGTGGGGGGGACACTTATAAGCAGTTTATAAGGAGTTTTTAGGCAGGTTAATTTGATTTTCAGATCCATTTGATTCCTAGAGCTGCTGCAGCTTCTCCTGACCTGGGGTGGAATCACGTATTCCCAGCTAAATATCTCCCATGACGGGGACCGCCCTCAGGACAACTACACCAATGGGCACAGGAAATGTTGGTGAGAGGGGGATTTGCTCCGAGGCAGACGGTGCTGGAAACCCCGGGGAGGGGGACAGAGACACCCCAGGGTGTCATTCCCTTTCAGCAGGGCCCGGCCCAGGCCAGCAGTGCCCACGTACCGCGCAGCCGTCCAGGGCAGCTCGGATGTAGGGGTTGTTGTCGTAGGACATCTCCTCGTCGTTGGAGCCCAGGAACCGGATGGCCTTGTCGTAGCTGTTGGTGGTGGCATCGTGCCAGGCCACGGACTGGTAGCAGTTGTAGGTGATGTTCTGGTGGGCCGAGGCGCTCAGGAGCCGCAGGAAGGTCATCTGCACTACCCCGATGGGGTTCCCGTCCGAGTCCACGTAGGAGAGCTGTGAGGAGGGGAGAAGGGGAAAAGCTGGGCAGTGAGGGGGGATGCAACGTGGCAGGCACTGCTCCTGCCACAGGGCTGCTCTGGTCCTCCTGTGGCCAGGGCATGGCTAACAAAGGGCACTTCATTCTCTTGGTTCACGTGAGCTGAAAAAAATAAGGCTAATTCAGGGCAGGAGACAAAAGGAAGGGGATTTCAACCCACAAAGATGCAGATTTGGGGATATACATCTCAGTTTAAGCCAATAGTGAGCGCATTTCTCCAACTTTTGAAGAGGGGAGAAAGCAGATTCCTGTAAGGGTTCAGGGTCTTATTTTTCTGTCCTGTTTGACAAGATTTCCTGGCTGCAGTGGGTCTTTTGTTCTGCACACCCTAGAGTATTTCCCATTCATTTTTCCTGGGCACCAAACACTGGGCTTTCAAGCAATCTTCGCACTCGATCTGCAGCAATCCTGTTCCTGCTGATAAGGACTGGGGGCTGCCGTGGCTGCCAAGGCTACACTCAGGCAAAGGGAAAATGGATTTGCTGCCCTTGGGGCATGGTGTGAACACAGGGCTGCGCTTGCACACTGAGATTTGCTCCGTTCTGCCCATCAGGCTCCTTTTCTCCCAGGCATGGTGCCTGTAACAGATTTTTGCAAACCAGAATTTATTGAAACCCAATTCCAGCGCTTAAGGCATTCAGGGCTTTCTGGGAGTTTTGTGCCCTGACAAAGAAGCAAACACAAAATGAGTTTGCACACGTGAGCTGGCTGTGCTTGGGGTGGCATCTCCAGCTGTGGCCCAGCCACTGCCCTTGAGGGACAATTGGGTTTCTTTAGAAACAACCAGGAGAAAAACACAGGCACACCAACAGCGGAGTTTCCTTCAAGGTACCACGAGACATCAAGTTGTGGTGCAAGCTGCAAACTGTAGAAGAGATTCATAACCAGGTAATAAAATAGCGAACAAAAAGGTAATAAAAATAAATAAATATACCAACCGGTTGTCAGGATACTGTTGCACTGTCCTCCTGAGAGTTAAATATGACTGACTGGGAGAGAGCCAGGCATGCCAGGAGAGCTACCAGAAAGCCACCAGGACGTGGAAGGAAGGGGACACAAAATGCCAAGCACTTGGCACACACTCACACAGTGCCATGTGAACACTACTGATCTGCAGGACCTACTGCTCTTATTTGGCCTTATTTCAATTCAGAGCTTGGTTTGGAGCCTGGATGCTCTTTAAGGGGTCTCTGATGCTGTTCAGCCTCTGCAGATTGTGTGAAGCCCTGTCCCAGCTTTTCAGCTGGAGCCACTGGGAATTGGTTGTGGGCATAAGGTTTGCTCAGGGGAACAGTTTTGCAGAAATCAGTCGTTTCCTCTTTTCTCTGTGCTGGTATTTCCCTGTGGCAGATGCCATATGGCTGTGAAGGATAATGGGATGGGATGGGTGGCAGGCCTTGTTAGAGCTACTGGGAATTGTGTGTAACACACACAGAAGGAAAGCAGAAGAAAACATCTGCAACCCTCTTATCCCTCTGAGGGCAGCTTGTCTGCATCGTGAGGAAAGACAAGAAATTGGCTCCAAGTACTCTGTGTCATCGATTAATTATGGCGTGGAAGCATCAAAACAAGCTGGTTTCTTTGTATTGCATAGTTCCTACACCCTTCTTACTTTGGATGTTCCCAGCTGCACACCCAGTGCAATTCCAGGATTCACATGGAGCCCCCTGTCAGCAGTGCTAATAAAACTTTACTTTCATGACTTATGTGTTTAATTGCTTAGGTGGGTCTTCTACGTGCTGGTGGCTTGTTTTTTATCCAAATAGAAAAAGCAGGACAGGTAAAAAAGCAAGAAAACCACAATACAAAAAGATGGAACAAAGAGCTCCAAGTAGCACCAGAAATTCCTGTTTAAAAAAAGTAAGTCCTAAGCTCTAGGTTGATAACTGAGCTTCTAATGTAGCTGATAGGCTGGGAAAAAAAGAAGCAGGGAATATGGAAAAGTGAAGGTACTTGTGTAATATTAACTGATGAAGTGCTCTGTAATTAAGCTATGAGTAGTTGCCCTCCAAGGAGCCCCGAGGCTGAAGCCTTGGCTTTGCAGCCTTATTTGATAATGCAGAAAAGCTACAGAAGCCACGTCCTTCTTGTGGGCAGAATCAGAGCAAAACGTGTTTAGTGGCGATGAAAGGCGGTGCAGGGAAACAACGTGGTGATTTTCTGGGTTGTTTGCCTTTTAAGGTGGAAGTTTGGGGGGGGCACTGCAAGAACCCTCTGCCAGGGGGAGAGGACAACTGCATGGAGCAGCTTAGTGTGACACAGCAGAGCATCTGCCTTCAGGGGCAGGTTGGTTTTATCTGCTGAATATTTCCTTCTTCCCTAATTCTCCTCATTTGACTGAGCTCATTATCTGCATCCCAGTAATCCTACAAGAACTGATACGCAAGGGGGAGGTTTCTGTTGCTTAAGGAGACCTGGATGTCCCTAATCAGCTGCTGCTCTGACATCCCTGACCAGGACTTGGTTACTGTGGGAGTGATCTATCCACAAAGTGGATGTTCTGTTACAGGACAACATTCCAGAGCTTTCTCTGTTTTCTGGGTTGCTGTCTTGCTCTGGGCTGGAGCATCACTTGAGGGGTCCCTCAGCTCATGGGATAAGGCCCCGTTGCTGCGGGACATGGAGGCACCCAGTTTGCCCTTGCCATAATGGGAACTGATGAGGAGACAGCAACAGCCCTCCTTGTGGGATGCAGACATCCTGCAGTGCCCTGTGATGACAAACCTGCAACAGCTCCAGCTCTGCAGGGTCCCCCAGCACATCACCGTGTCCCCTTCTAACACAGGGGAAAGCTCATCACCTGTTCCTGGCTTCCCAGTCAAGCAGACTGGACAAAAAAGGGGTTTTAGTTCTTTCTCAGTATTCCACCTTAAACGTTTTGCTGTGCCTGGTGGTGGTGATTAGTCCAGCATGCAGAGTGCAGCAGGTCTGGCCATACCAAAGCAGATGAGGAGCTCTGATTCAGGCTCGAGGGCCAAGGTGAGCCACTTACCAAAGACCCCCGCTTGTATTGACTATACCATGTGGAAGGCTGTTCTTTGGGCCAACGAGCCATTTTACTCTGTAAAATATGACAGGGGTTAAGGAAAACAGAAAGCACCAAGATGCATCTTACCAGTTTACCGCGCTTGAATTCACTGAACCAGGAGCCTGGGGTTTCCTTTGGCCAAGAAGTAATTCTAGCCTAGTTTGGGGATGGCGAGGAGGGAAGAGAGAAAGAAAAAAAAAAAAGAAATTAGAAAAGTTACATTCAGTTCCACAAGCAGCATGTCTTATTGGAAGTGTCCAACTTCCTTCTAAGTAATTTCTTAACCTTTTACACCGATAACGAGTGGTGGGCAGAGCACCAAGGTGCCTCTAGAACAGAGGGGGATGGTGTGGTGCTTCCCCAGGTACCCAGTGGTGCCCTGGCACCAGCTTCCTTTGCTAAGGGCTAATTATCTCTGCCTCCTAGACACTTTGGATGCAAATCCAGCAGTGCAGTCTAATGAGAGGAAAAGTAAAAGGAAAGATAGAGAGGGGAAAAGGAAACATGGATGTTGAAAGGTGCAGTGATCTTCATGGGAGGGCTGGTGTGGAGAGGCAGTGCTGGAAACTGAGGAGGCTTCTGCCACTCTAATGCCAAATCCAGATGCTGTGGGGCTGGGAAAGGCAAAGGATGTGATGAAGGAAGAGCCTCTGCCTGTCTCCTGTGTTTGAGGTGCGACGCAGACCGTGCATCCCCCAGAGATGGTGCTGGACCGCACGTGATGGAGCTCCAACGACCCAGAGCGATGGAGACCGTGACAAAAAATCAGCTGCCAGAGCACCCTTTACGTCAGCCCCAGCCAAGCAGCTGAAGCAGTTTTTTGGAGTCAGAGCACAAGGAGGGAGCGTGGCTGCCTTCTGCTCCCTCACACTCCCACAAATGCCCTCACTTCTGCTGCAAATCTCCCCAAAAACTACAGCCAAGCTCCATGCAGGTGTCTTGGGATTGTCCTTTCCTTTCCAGCACGTGAACTGTAAAGCAAGTCAGCGTGTTTCTGCTGGGTGAGGGATGAACTGAGAGGGGATACGGCTCAAACTCTGCTGTGGCTTATAATAAAACCACTCAGCCAGTACTCAGTGCTTCTGTAGTCGCTGCTTGCATTCCTCTAGATGGAAAAAGAGCAGGCTGAAGGTTTTTCTTGTGAATAAAGTATTCCAGAAGTGTAGCACAGTTTGCACTTGAGGAGTATCACATAGAGCCCCTCACAGGACGAGCATGGCAGGACTCTCAGATTCTGTAAGATCATGGCCAGAATCCAATTTTAGCTGTCAATATTTCGAGGAGAGACATGGCAAGCTGACGCAAAGGAGAAGAAAATCTATCTCCTATTTTAAACAGCCCTAAGAAAAACTCAAGGAATATTTATGCTGCCTGTTATTTGTCCTGCTCTGACACATATTTCTGGTGGGTGAAATGCAGCAAGTGAACGGCTCAGCTTTGTCACAGCTGGAGCACAGCTGAGCTCTCCCCAGGCCGAACTGCAAGAGCTTCTGCTTGGCCAGTGCAAGAGCTGGTCCCCAGGCAGTGGGAAGAGCAGCTCTGGAAAACAGAGTGAGTGGATACAGGACAAAAAAAATGATGAGTTTGGCTGAGCTAAGCGCATCATTGCACAAATAACTTCATCAACCTTGCACATCAGCACCAGGGAGAGAGCTGAGGATACTTGCAATCATTTAGGATCATTTACCCACAGGAAACAGCAGGAAAAATGACAGGAGATAAACATTTATCTGCTCTGCTTGGAGACACAGTGAGGGTAGAAGAGTCAGTGGTGCTTAGACATGCAGGCAGTGGAGCGACAGCCTGGCTGGGAGGGGAGACAAGGAATGAGTTAAACAAAGCTCCAATTCCTGCCCCAACACACACAGCTGCCTTTGCACAGCAAAGGTAAAAAAATTAACCTTTTAGCATTTGTTATGCCTGGGAAATCATCAAAGGCTTGTTACAATCTGACTTACTCAAAGAAATTCTCTTTGTCAACACGCTCCTTATTATTTTGGAAGTAATGTTGTGTAACGAAGGAACATTCTGGATCTTTGATCCTTACTGGTTATTGTTCAGTTCTCCTGAAATTGACTGCCTATGAATATTCATATTAGGGAACAATCTATCACCATGACACAGGGGGAAATTAAAGGTTGTGTGGACTTACTCCTTCAGATTTCTTATCAGGGAAGATGCAAGTCTCTCCACCAGCTGTGAAGTTACAGTAAACTTTGAAAGAGTCCCTGGAGCATCCTTGGTTTGGATCAACCCAGTATTCACCTGGATGCACGAGTAGGAAGAGAAGGGAAGAAAGAATTAGCACTGTGAAGGAAGGACAATGGGCACTTCCCCAGCCATCTTACCAGGGATGTTTCACCTCTGTCACAGGCTACTATTTATATGTAGGTTTTGAAAAACTGGTTTAAGTTCTTGTTCTAGCTAATACTGTGGCACCTTGCAGAAGAGATATTTTCACCCTGTATCCCCATTCTTAGAATAGAAAATTTCAGTTGGAAGGGATGTATGACAATTATCTAGTCCAACTCTACAAATTCCTTCTCTGCCAGCCAAATTCCTCATGGAGCACCAGGACAAGGAACACCCCAAATTACTCCTCTTCCCTCCCTCCCTTCTATTCACCACGAGGAGCTGGGAAACCCCCCAGTGTTTCCTCCATATCCCCTCTGTCCCGGGACACACCGTCTGGGAAGTCGGGGTGACAGAGCTGCAGATCCTTGCAGGTACGTGCTGGGTTGTGCTGAGTGCCCAGTGGATGCTTCATCTGCTCGATTTCCAGTTTCAGGGAGTTCAGAGAGCCAAAGATCTCCTCCATGCCGTCGGCATAGTCCATGTAGTTGTCGGCATTCCCGTCGTCCACCAGCTGGCTGGCGTCAATGTTTCGCCTGGTCCTCTTGGAAGCCTGGATGGGCAGCGGCTGGATGACCTCTCCAGGAGGGCCCTGATTTGTGGGGAGAGAGGATACAAATTCTCATTGCTCTGGAAGTGGAGAAGAGGCAGAAGAGGTGGCCAGAGCAGCTCCCAGCACTGAGAAACAGCATCACAAGGTACACATTAGGCATTTAAAACACCTCTCATGGTGCTGCTGAAACACTGGGCCCATCTTCCCTTGTCACCTTCCCATTAGTGCTTTCTCCTTTCACATCCTGCTTTCTCCCCCAGCATCTCTAAGGAGACGCCACTCCGTTCCCAGGACTGGCAGTGAATCCTTGTCCAGGGGTCTTCTACTTCCCAGCATTACAACATCCATTAAATCTGAATATGGTTTCGTGCTTCATGTTAAGGGTTCTACTTACAGGAGGCCCTGGGGGCCCAGGAAGACCTGATTCACCCTTTGGACCTGTTGGACCCTGGGTGGAAAAACAAGAGAAAAACACGGGTCACTCAGGGAAAAAGCAGCTGTTACTGATACCACACCCCAAACATTATTTCTTTAGTGGCAAAAACTAGTCTCCTTGTACCCACCTCCCAAGAAGGTGTTTCTTTTGGTTATCTTTGATGTTTAGGTAAAAGGAAAGATCAAACACTGGGGGCTAAACAGTCAAATTTTGCTCAGGCTCCCTACAGAAAAGGAAGGATCTTCCAATGCATGAAAGCTTTACCTCTCCAAATCAATCCAACAGATTTACAAGTCAAATAAAATCTTCAAATTAATAAAACATTGGATTCTGAATGGGGAAAAGACACTAGGAAGTTGCCCAAGAGGAATTTTTTAGCTGCCTGCAAAGGAGATCTGTACCACGAAGTTTCGGCGTCGTGTTTCTCACCGAGCTCTTCGCTTTTCAGCTTCTCACCTCCCGCTTTCAGTCTATTTTTAATACCCTCCGCTCTACAGCAGCAGCTTTTCTCCCAAGAACTGTGCACTGGATTCCTCCTTATGATCTGTGCTGCGCTGCTGTTCGGTGAAGGATAGTTGTGGCACAGAAACCTTTCCCAATTACCATTGCTGGGCTCAGACAGCCTGAAAAGGCCACATTTGCTACAGTCATCTCTGGCTAATTGCTTTAATGCCACTGATGTGGAGGAGTCACAGTGGGCTCTACACTTAATAAGAGCTCCTCAGCCTCGTCATTTAACAGTATCTATACTCACTGATGATCCTTTAGCACCTTTGGGACCAGGTGGACCCTGTGGAGAGAAAAATACAGGGAAGAGTCAGTACATTTCCAAGCAGAGAAGGCATCAGTCTCTCCTTAGAAAGTAGTGCTATATAAAGAGCTTTTTTTTTTTTAATTCACTCTATTTCTGTTTCCACTTTCCACATCCACTTGAGCTGGGCGTCGCTTTTATTTGCCAACACACAGAAAGCACTTGTGTCAGAGCAATCTGTGTCAGTACTCCACAGTCCTGCCCTGGTGGGGACTGGAAAAGCTGCTGGGGCATCACTGCAATGTGAGGCTGATCCTGGCTCTGTGCTAGGGACACTCAGCTGCTCCTCCCAGGATACCCAGTGGGAAAAATTACAAATAGCAGCAAAGAGTGCAAGAAGTCACCGTGTGATTGTAGACAATGCAAAAGAAAGGGGGAAGAGAAACAGGGTGGGATGATTTCCCTGCCTTCATCCCACTGTGCCCATCTCACACGTCACCTCCCAGCACTCCTGGAACTCATTCAAGTGTTTGTAATGGGCTCAGCTGAGAAAACCCCTTGTGACCAGAATCCTCAGACAAGGTGAAGGCAGGCCAGGACTGTGCCGGGTATTTGAGGGCACCAAAGTGGCTCCTGAAGGACTGTGCAGCTCCCAGGGAATTCCAGGATAATTAGTTGTCACATACCGGCAATCCTGGTGGCCCTGGAGGTCCGATGGGTCCAGAAGGACCTGTGATACCCTGAAAAATAACAGCAGAGCAACATTGATTTGACCACCCAGTTTCGGAGGACTCCATTCCAATCTGGGGCTTTAATGGGTTTTTAAGCATGTCCATGATCCAGACAAGAGCATGAACAAGGAATCCCATATCTCATTTAGGCACTCAGTTTTAAAAATCAGTCCTCTGGATGAATATTTAATGGTACCATCCCTCCATGGTCCATTCAACTCTTTTCATACGACCCTTGAGAATCTGCTTTCCACTAAAATGGGTCATTTTGCAGCATATCCACATTTCACATGTAGAATAAACCACATTAATATAGAAAATATTCCCTCAAAGATTAACAAGAGTCTCTTGACCATCTCTGCTGTGCCTCCTCAAGGGCAGCAAACCCGCAGCTCAAAACCGTGTTCCATGAAGGTCTAGTGGCATCTTTACCTGTTCTCCTTTGGGTCCTGCTGAGCCCTGGGGGCCTGGGAGACCTCTGTCACCCTTTTCTCCCTGCTCTCCTGGTGGCCCAATAAGGCCAATTAAACCTGGATGACCCTAAGGGAAACAGCAGATGTTAATTAGGAATTCTCACCAGAGGCAACTGAACACCAAAGCTACACAGCAAAGGCATTTCGAGATACAACCCCAAATATATCCCAGGTGCTGCTCTTACCTTCTCCCCTTTAGGACCAGAGTCTCCTTTCAGACCAGGCAAACCAGGTGGGCCCTTTGGGAGACAGAGGGAAAACAAGGATGAATTCACATCACACACACTCACCCGTTTCAAAAACTCTTGGAATTTGATGCTCTGGACATACCATTGGGCCTGGAGGACCATCTGGGCCAGGGGATCCTGGGAGACCTTGTTCACCCTGTAAAACAGTGCAATTCCCTGAAAACAGTCATCCATGACAGCAGTGCTCCCAGCTGGGAATACTGTGATTATTCACCTGTGCCAGGGAATGTTTGTCCTGGCTTCTCCCAGATGGCAAAGGCAAAAGGATTTATGGTCCTTTCATGCTCAAATCTCTACTGGAAAAGGGACTTTGGAGGAAACTCCCACCCAAAAAGAGTGGCTGAGAAGACCCCGGATTCAAATAAAACATGGCGGGAGATGTTATTCACCATTCTACTATTTCCACTAAATATGTTTTATCTGCTGTCAGATATTTAAGCACAGACAGAACGTTACTCTGGGAGAAAAGCATCTTCCAAGCAGATGGGATATGGTGAAGCACCAGAAGCAACCCTGACCAGAAGCTTTCTCAGACTGGGAATACTCACAACTGGACCAGGAATCCCTCGAAGGCCATCAGGGCCAGGCTTCCCTGGAGCACCTTGGGGACCAATTGGGCCAGTCTTCCCAGGAGGTCCTTCCAAACCAGCTTCACCCTGGAAGCAAGAGGCAGGGTGGTTTAATTTGTGTTGGGACATCAAATGATCCTGTGGCTGCTGCCAGGATGCCACGGGGTGGATGCAGGTCCGTGCAAAGCAAGAACTTTCTGTTCCTTGATTTTCCTGCTGCTCCCTCTCCCTTATGCAGCGAGGAGAGGTCTCCAAACTCCTTCATTTCTGAGCCTTGCCTGTTTCTGCTGATTTCCAGCAGGAACCACCCTTTGGCTCTGAGCTCTGCAGGGCAGGAAGCTTTCCTGGGTTCAGTCCTGGGAGATGAGCTAGCAGAGGGCATCCTCCACCAGTAGTGTTCCTGCAGCTGCCACAACAACTGGATCTATAATTTGCAATCCCTCTCTCCATTTCCCCACCACTCCTACCAAAACAATCGTAAGCCCAGTAATGCCATGTTTGCCCTGGGAAGGGACGTGGGGCTGTGCAGGCCCTATTATTTACAAGACATTAAACGGCCAAATATAGCACTTTGTCATTTCAGAACAAGAAAAACATTCCCATGACCTTACCAAGCCCTAATTATCTCCACGGAGTTTGTTAAAGGATGAAACATAAGCTCGGATTTGAGGCCAATGGCCCCAAATCCAGGCTAATTTGTTGTAACACGCAGCAAAATCAAATCCCTGCCTCTCAAACGCCGGCGTTGCTGAGGCCGACCCCTTTGGCAAATCAAGGACACAGGAGAAGTAAAATCCCCTTCAGCTCTTACCTTGGCTCCTTTCTCTCCTTGCCTTCCTTCGGGACCAGCTGGACCAGGAGGGCCCTAAAGAAAGCACAAAATAGATGCAAAACACAATTAGATCACAGTGATCTGAAACGGTCCGTTGGAATTAGCAAAATGATGCTGCAGCCCCAGGGAAGGAGGCAAAATGGAGACAAATATCTCTGGAAAGCTTTTTAAATTAGCTGCTTGCTAAATGAATCCCTAAGCTCTGCCAGCAATGCAGGATGGGCAGAAGCACCTCAAACTTGTGTTTTCGTTTGGCTGTTAACATCTTCAAAAAAAAAAAAAAATCCATGGGATTCAGCTGACAGCTTCCCATCAATTTCCAATGGCTGTGGATGGTGTATAATTTCTTTTTTTAATTATTATACATTTACACAGTATTTACACAGCATTTATTGGGAGACATCGCAATAAAATGAGCTTTAAAAAGTCAACACAGATATAGTTGGAAAAATCCTCCTAAACAACCAGCTTACCCTTTTTCCTGGGGGTCCGGAGGGGCCTGGCTCTCCCGTGGGACCAGGGGAACCCTAAACGGAGAGGGGAGGAGAACAAGCCATAAATGCACCACGAGACGTGTGAAAGAGCAGCAAAACCGTGTAAAACTCGAGTCAGGATCTCGAGTTTGTGCCGAGCTGAGGCGTGGGCAGCCAGTACAACTCCCGACACCTCCTCGGGGTGCAGGTGGTATCTCGTTTTATCCCTTCCCACCATGAAGTGCCATACGGCACGGAAAAGCTGAAAAGCAAAGGCTTGGAAGTTGTTTTTCCATGAGATGATTTATGCTTTCGGGATGTATTGCTAAGCTGGATGGGTGGGTGGGTGGATGGATGGGTGGACGGATGGATGGGTGGATGGATGGATGGCAGCAGCCAGGCTGCCACAAATCAGATGGACAGGCATCAGGGGACCAGGACTGGTAGGAATTGGATGCTCAGTGCCCTTGGACCTGCACACAGGGAGTGTGGGGAACAGATCTCATCTATCCAGTTACTCACAGTCTGTCCAGGTTCACCATCGTCACCTTTGTCACCAGGGGGACCATCTTGACCCTGAACAGGAAGAAAAATAGAAACAAGGAGGTGTATTTAGGGTAAGAATGGACTTGAGTAGAGTGTTGGCAGCAGCAGGTTCAGCTGGTCTTCATGTCACCAAGCACCACTCCTTCCCACCTCCCACTGGGAACACCGACAACAGTGATGTCTAGTGTCAAAAACAGGGATAACAGCCCTTGTGTAGCTACTGCCCCAAAGGCTAGAGCACAGCCAGACAGACTTTTGGTGGGACTTCCTAACCTTTCCCAAGTAAGGGAAGAGTGAATGACAGAGGAGCTTCTGGGGAATGAGCAGCACAGTCACACTTCACCAAACTGATTTGCCCTTCTGTGAGACAAACACTTACAGCTGGACCAGGTTCTCCAGGAGGACCAGGGTCGCCAGGGAAACCCACTGGACCCTGCAAAGAGAGAAGAGGGATAGTCCCAAGTCAGGGATGTTGCATCTGGAGAACTGCAGAGCATGAGTGGACAGCATGGGGAGTCACCCTGCGCAGCAAGCCCCAATTCCCTCAAAGACAATCCCAGATCACATCCCATCTTTGCAACTTCAGTATTTTCATCCTGTCACAGCCAGTCCACCTCTGCATCCAGGCTGTGCAAAGCTCCAAAGGCAACTCTGGGAGTTTCATTTAGTTTTTCATAAATACATTGGACAGGTGACAGCAAAATCCTCACAGCTTTGGGGAGTGTGCAAGTTAGAAGACTTTGCTTCTGCTTCCTACATGATGTTTTTTTCCCAGGAAGATCCTCTCAAAGCATTTAATGACTAAAAACACTTCACCATTCTTCCTCATACAGTGTCTATCAGGTACTTCAAATGATTCCAAGACCAGCACTCAAATCTCAGGTTTCACCCAATCACGAGATATCCCAAACCCCATCTGTTAAGAGAGATGAGTAACTCCACTGCCTCCTCTGCTGTTTTATGCCATCTTCGCTTATCCCAGAATAAATTTCTCCAGACAGCAAGCATCAAAGGAGAGGGCAAGATAAATACTGTACCATTGTCATCTGATATAAATCAGGAGAGCTCGACTGGCTTCACCAGAGCTACAGTAATTAGCAGCAGCAGGTATCTGGCTGTGGAGGTACAGCTCCCAAATCCACATAAATCTCCTCTGTGCTGTTTTGGAAGCTTTGCTCTGGTGCAGAAGACCTTGGCAATCCATAACCTGAAGTGCCAAGTAAATCTACTGCAGGCCCTCTCCATTGGGGTGAGTTTTATGATGGCCTGCAGAAAGGGCCAATAATTCCAGGATTGCTGGAAAATATGGCACAGCTGGGTCTTTCCCTCATTAGCACCCTAAAGAAGGGGATTCATATCATGTATCAATAGAGGAACAATTCTGTGGCTGGTAAATGCTTTCAAATTTCCACAAACATCTCTGGAAAATGTATTTTCATGCAGAAATCCCTGCTGGGCAAGCCAAAGAAACATTGAAGGGGTACTTACAGGGCTGCCTTTGGGACCATCATCACCTGGTGGGCCTTTGGGGCCAGGTGGACCAGCAGCACCAGAGGGACCTGCTTCACCCTTTTCACCTCTTTCACCTTTAGGACCCTGTAAAGAAAGAAAAGGTGTTTCTATTATCCAGGAAAACAACATACTGAACTCTAATTATCCTTTTATCGGTTCTGGGAAAGGAGCTCTATTTGTGTCTCCAAACACAAGGACATGATTTAGCAGTCCCTTCCCACAAAGACTAAATGGTGTTCATGGTGTTCAGCCGTGGGTAGCCCATATTTGGTGACTAAACGTGATACTATAAATACCCAGGAACATGGTGATGTGTCATCCCAAACCGAGGACAGGACTGGTTCGGTCCCTGCCGCCCCATCCACATCCACACCTCTCCATCTACCATCCACACCTTCCCAGAGTGTACTTACCGGGAGCCCAACCTCGCCAGGAAGACCAGGCTCACCAGATTCACCAGGTTCACCCTGCACAAGGGAAAAAAAAAAAAAAAAAGGATGAGAATACTTCTATTTCTGGAGGGTGATGAGATTTTTTGCTGATGTGGCAAAGCTGATGCAGGAGTGCTGCAGCAAACCCCTGTGAGCTTCAATCAGGCTTGGCCAGATGCTTTACCTTCTCTCCTACTGCACCAGGATTTCCTATTCCCCCGGGAGGACCTTGAGGACCATCTGCTCCTGGTGGCCCAGATGGGCCTCTGGGTCCTGGTGGGCCTGGTGGACCCTGAGAGAAAGGAGAGACAAATTTAAGACACATTTCTCAGAGCAATATCAACGTCAGCAATGAAAAAAGAAGTATGGAACCATCTTACCATTTGCCCAACGTCACCTGTTTCTCCCTTCTCCCCAGGCGGTCCAGGCAAGCCCTGTGGAGGTGGAAGGGGTGAGTTTTAGCTGTGAACATCTCAGCTAAGCCCCAGCTCTCACTACCCCAAGTCCTCCCTTGATGCTGCAAATTACCTGCAAGCCCACAGGGCCGGGGGGACCAGGGAAACCTCGGGGTCCTTCATCACCTTTCTGCCCAAAGAGGCCCTGCTGCCCTCTGGGTCCTGGCTCTCCATCAGCTCCCTACAAGGAAAGGGACTGACACAGCTCAGCAAAAACACAAGGTAGACATGAACCCTGCTTCCCAGGGTTTTTTAGTTAAAAAAAAAGAACCAAAAGGAGAACAGTACTCACAGCTGGGCCAGGCTGGCCAATTGGACCCTGCGGGCCAGTAGGACCTGGTGGACCCTGTCACAAAGCAGAAGTGAAATGTCAGCATTAGGAGCAGAGTGACATATTCCCCTTAAAAAGGTGATACATTTCAACACAGCCTCCATTAAATCTGAATTAATTCCCAAACCAGAGAGGCAGAACAGGGTCAGGTGTCTCTGGACGCACCAGCACTCCTCAGCCCTGGTGCAGCAGATGTGTCTAAACACATTTTTGCTCCAGAAAAGCAATGTCACATGTCTAAAAGCAATGTCTAAATACTCATGTGTGAATTAAGATCCACAGATTAAGTTCTAATCATAGAATTAGAGAATGGTTTGGTTGGAAGGGACTTTTAAAGGTCATCTGGTCCAATCCCTCTGTCATGAGCAGGGACATCTTCAAGCAGGTCAGAAGGGGAATTTCATCCAAAGACCCAACTTTAGTGGGAAGTGTTTCACAGATATTTACATGGTACATGGAAATGCCTCATTGTGTTCCTGGGAGCTGGAGGCTCTCACTGTCTTTAACATCATGTGGGTATTTGATGAAGGAGAAGAGGAGAAGATGAAGCAATGATAGAAAGAAATTAAAATGATAGTGTTTTCTGTTTCCAGCAAGTCACACAGCATAACGACACCCCTCAAGAGAAGCAGCTGCAGTGTCCACTGCACTCACCTGCTCCCCTTTGTCACCCTTGCTGCCCTTCTGGCCAGGCTCCCCGATCTCACCCTGCCAGGAACAAAGGGGCATAAAGTTAGTTCACTTGGTGACCACCTCCCCCTCTCAACATTCCAGCAATAGACCTGTGTGCCTGCATCCTCATCCCAAAGCTGCCAATTCCCACAGAAACAGCCCAGAATGTGCTGAATAATGCCAGTGATTTGACCACTCCAGGTGTAACCAAACCCTTTCACATCCTACAATTCTCCTTGGCTGCCATGTGGTGCAAGAAGCATCATTTTGCAGACCCTTTTAGCAGCCATGGGGGAGTCACCCCAGATTGTGTTCTCTAATGAGAGAGTAGGCAAAGGTAATTAATTCCACCACATCCCACCCATTGTGGTAGAAGCACCAACGGGACACAGTTCCTTCCCAGAGTGGCCCTGAGCAGCAGGGAGCTGTTCCCACCTTGTCTCCATCCTCTCCAGGGGGGCCGACAGGACCTGCTGGGCCCGGCAGTCCCACGGGGCCCTGGATGCCATCCCGGCCAGCTGGTCCTTGAGGACCCTTCTCCCCCTACAAGCAGAAGAACAAGCATGTCACAGAGAGCTCTCCTCCACCCTCCAACCAGCCCATTACATCCCATTAATGTTTTATTCAGCTGCTAATGACCCCTGGGCATGAATAGCAGAACCTGTTCCAGCTGATATTTCATCAGGCTCTGGGCTCGCTGTCTGAAACAAGACAAAATTTCTGTCTTGAGAGATAACGAAGGAACAAACAAATCTACACAGTGAATACCCAGATCCCAGCTGCAATTTCACTGCTACAGCAATACAATCAGATTTAATCTGAACCCTCTGCCATCTCTCTCTGGATGACAAACAAGACCCCAAGTAATTTTTACTCCCACCTAGCCAGTTTCTGCTGATTGTGCTCCTGGCTGCTCCAGCTTTCTCCCTTCCCTGGCTGATCCCCAACTAAGGGGGGTTCTCAGGAGGCCCTGAGCTCCCCCCTGAGCTTCTGGACAAAGGAAAACACCTGAAGTGAATAAAGCAGTCTCTGCTGGCCTCCTGCTTAAACAACTACTTGCACTCCTCCAAGCTGGTGCCTTCAATCAAATTTGTTTGTTTACAGGAACTGAACAGTGAATATTTTCCAGTTTCCTCGTACATAATTTAATTGCATCTGAATCCTGGGTGCTCTCTTCTGAATAATTACATGCCACATAAATTGCCTATTCATCTATCCACTGACTGATGCATCCTATAGGTACTCAGTGGGACAGATGTTCCTAAAGCTGATTCACCAGGAAATTCTTGCCTCTGGATTAGCTGCTGGAGTTTCTAATAAGCCAGCAAATGTGGAATACAGTGGCTGCTAAACACTTTTGATGACAACATCAATCATCCGTGAGATGGAGCCTGACATCACCGACGCCACCGTTTGCTCATCTCGCCGGGCCTCAGGCCGAGCTTAAGTTTGAGGCAGGCAACCCAAACATCCCTTCAAACCCACTTGGGCGGGAACTGGAGGCACGGGGGCTGTCAGTGCTGCGCTCTCCAGGAACAGAAATAGCCACATCCCAGCCCACTCCCTCCTGCCTGCACGTGACATTTCACGCGCGTGCCGGGGGAGCGAAAGACGTGCGAGTTTGCGCGGGTTGGCTGGAGAACGCTCCGGAGAGGGACCATATGGCAGGACTCAGCCGTGCTGGGCTCGGGATCCTGCTGGGAGCAGCTCTGTCACGGGCACCAGCGGGGCGGATGCCTGCGAGAGCTGATGCTGCACCACCACGCAGCACCCCAAAATCTCCCCAGCGCCTTCCTGTGCCCGCCCGGGGAAGGATTTATTTGAGCTCCGTGGAAACGGCTGCTGCCATTGCATCCTGATAAGCAGGGATGGGGCTGGCTCACTGCTCTTCCCAAAGGCCTTGCCTTTGGCTGTTTGTCACTAGGAGGTCACACAGGCTGTTATTTCACCTGCTCAGCCCTTGTTGCCTGAGGACAAGTTGGTCCCTGGATCACATCCATCTTTGATAGCACGGGCATCCCAAACGGGGCAGCTGAGCTGTTAAAATTTAGTAGTTTGATGCGCTCAAGATGAGGAAATTAATTTCTAACTGAATTCCTGTTTTATTTATTCATTTAAATCTTTCATCCACCTCCCCAAGGACTGGTTCCATGCTCAGCTCCCTAGTGTGCACATTTCTAGTTGACCCACAGCCGTTAACCTTTATACTGGTACTTACTGGAGCTCCCTTTTCACCTGCAGGTCCCGGAGGTCCCTGGGGTCCAGGTCGCCCTGGCAAACCTATTGGGCCAGCTGATCCTGCTGGGCCACGCTCCCCAGGAGAGCCCTGTTGGGAGAAGAAGGAAAGAAGCATTAGCTGCGGTATCGAGCTTCGTGAAGAGACAAAGAAATCCAGCAGCAGGATGCTGCAAGCACACTGTCAGTACATGAGCACATTTGATGGGATAACTGCCATGTGATGACTTGGTGCCACCAGCCTAAGGGGTCCTGCAGATCGTTTTTTTAATTAAAATCCCTGGAAGGGCTGGATTCTCCTCTGGATGGTGCAGGGAGCTCAGTTCCTGGGGATACATTAACAGCTTGGAACGAGAGCGTGAGCCACTTCACAGCCAACGCAGCAGGGAGGGTTGGATGATGAATATTTTCTTCCAGGAGGGCGGCACTGAACGTGGATCTCAAGTGAGGACAACTTCCAGAGGGAAAGCAGGTGGTTTAGAAGCAGCAGAACTCTGGATGTCCTGAGCCACTGCAGTTCCCTCAGCCTGTCACGTATGTTCCCAGCTGACACCACAAAACGGCTGCGTCGTTACACGCGTGTCTTGTAAAATAAAGCAACGTCCAGGGAGCCATTTGTTAGTGCAAAGGAAATAAGGGATAAAGCCTGGAGCTGTGACTAACCCTCCCTTTGGCCTGCCAAGCTTGTAAATGGTTAGGTGGTGCCTGCAAGGGCAAGGATACTCACTGCTGGGCCTGGAGGGCCTGGGGGACCTTCGTTGCCTTTCAGTCCTGGAGAACCCTGGAGGGAGGAAAACAGAGTCATTTTGTGAGGGGGGTGCTGCACCTCCCGGACATCCTTCCTGCTGGAAGGACTGAGCAGCCTCTACTCACGATGGGGCCAGGGAGCCCTCTCTCTCCAGGGAATCCTCGCAAGCCGGGGGGTCCGTCCTTCCCTGGGAGGCCGGCGGGACCAGGATCCCCCTGCAACGACAAGGATAAACAGCTGAGGCTCTGCAGACTCCATAGAGGCCCAGCTTGTGTCTCCATGAGGGAACAGAAGCTTCGTTTCTCTTGTGAATCATCCTCTCCATCTCTGGGGAGAGGCAGGTGCCCAGGCTGGCAGGGAGGGTCAACTCTAGTCCCTACCTTGGTCCCTTCTTTTCCAGTGAGGCCAGGAAGACCTTGTTCACCTGGAGGACCCGGAGGGCCTGGGTGTCCCCGCTCACCCATCGGCCCAGTCTCACCAGTTGGACCCTGAAAAAAAACAATCAGGGAGAATGTGGTGGAACAACAAAGGAAGGAAGAGGTGCAGGATATCCGTTTGGCCCTTTGAGTCGCAATGGGATGGAAATGCTTATTCCCTTAGGTGTCCCCTGCAGTGCCACCAGGAATTCCCTGGAGAGACGCCTCCTTTGGCATCTAAAGTGACCTTGTGTTTTGGGAGTTGGAAACATTTCACTTGGCACAGCAGAGGCACTGGGAACCTCCGGAGTGAAAGCATTCACATAAACGAGGTGTCATTGCTACAACCGTTGTGCTTAGGTTTTTCTTTTTAACTGAAAACTTCCTAAGCACTCTACAATCCTGCTGATTCTCCCTTCCATGGGGCATAAATTATGCATTAGGCTTGTACTGCACAGCAATTACCAACTGCCTCCGTGCCCTCCGCGGGCACTAATGTGACGAGTGTATAACATAAGGCCCAGCACAGAGGGTTCCCCAGTGGCCCATTTTGGGGGAGGACAGGAGCCATGAGCACAAGCCTGCAGCATCCCTGCCCGCTGGTGTCTGCTGGGACAGGGGCTGTAATTCATGTCCTGCTGCGGGGTGCCACTTAGTGCCAGCAGAACTCCACCACTGCCTCGCTCAGCAGCCACAGATCACACTAAGTACGCGCAGCAGAGCCCGATAAAATTGCCACAGAACTTAATTTGCACTTGAGAAGACAGACACAGTCGTCAGGGAATTGCCCCTAATCAGGGAATTTACAAATCAGGGACTTTACACACTGTCATTAAAGAGGACAAATTAATTGCTTTCTAATTAAAGAGCGAGCTACCCGGCAGTTCAGGAAAGAGGAATTGACCCAAAGCCAGCCCTACTCAGTCCAGGGCTCTGCCTAGAACTGACCCACGAGCCCTGCACGCCTGTACTTAAAGGTTCTGAGTTCTGCTTGTGCAGTGACTATTTCCAGATTGCACAGGGCTTTTTGTGACTGAAAAAAAAAAAAACAAAAACAAACCAGCCCAGCTCTGACAGAATCTGGCAGCACTTCAGATTAAAGAGGGATGACTTTCTTCACAGCGACGTGTAAGAGCACTCTTGCATCACGCTCGCAGTGCCCTGAACACCAGCAGCTGTACAGCCCTCGTTTAACTCACTGTCTGCTTAGAGGTCTTCTGGTTGAATTGTGTGGTGTGGAGCTGTCTTTCCAATTTACACCAGGGCAGTTGGTATTAAATTCACAGGAACCACCTTATTTACAGCAGCCCCCCGGCAGGTTTGTCTAAACACCATCCAAAGGGCTCCACAAGGTGGGCTGGGACCAACTTGGGTATTTCACACCTTGGCCAGGAATTTCAAAGCTATCTGACATGACTTTGCCTTCCCTGGAAGAGGAGTCCCTGCTGTACAACCATCCCAGCACCTTCAGCTGAACCATCAGAGCTCTGAGGTGCCCACCAGGGGAAGATGAATTGCAGGGGGCTGGTGAAAATGTGAGTATTTGCTTCTTACCTGAGGGCCTACAACACCAGGGGGTCCTGGAGGGCCAGTCTTGCCTTGGAAACCCTGTTAGAGAAAGGGAAAAGAGAAAGAAGTGACACTTTTGCCAAGGACTGCTCCAGCAAGGGTCAGACTGCCACCCGACTGCTCCTCCTGAAGTGAAACCACTGACCGGGAGCAGATGGACACCCAAAATAAAAAGAAGTAAGAAATCAAAAAAAAAAAAAAAAGGTGGAAAATATGTATTTGAATTTATACAGGGGTGAAACAGGGGAAGAAGAAGCAATTCTCAATGCTCAGCTCTGCTGTTTCGATGGGGCCACTGTGGTTTGGCTGAAGGATTGGCCATATATATTAAAAAATTTGCTACGCTCATAAAACCTGTAGAGGAAACGGCTGTTAAAGGGCTATTAAAAAGTCAGTGTGAGTTTCTTCATGCTGAGCAATTCTTAAAAGCTGTTTCCCTTGTCCTGCTCCCCATCCTGGTGCTGGTTTGGGCTCAGTTCTGTTTTAAGCTCAGCTCCCAGGGGCTCGGGGTCTGAGGGACCCTCTCTTTTGTCACGGGCAGCTCCCATCTCCAGTCCTGCTGAAGCCCCAAACCCTCCAGCCACGGAGGCTGAGTGAAGCTTTATTTCCTTCCCCAACATCTGCTGAAAGAAATCACAGCCCTGCTTGTCTCCCAACGCTGATGAGCAGCGAAGGCTCCATGACAGCTCCTTATAATGTCATTTTGAAGAGTGACAATAACGAACCATCACCACTGCAATTGTTTAGCTCTCCTAAGCCACTCTTTAAAAGCACATTAATTATCGTCCTTACTGCGGCACGCTGACAAGCTTGAGGAATGGCATTTAAGGCATACAGGCTATTTTCTCATTGCCACAAAAGAGGATCAGATAAATCCCATGTCAACGCTAATGTGTCGTGCTAAAACAACTCCTCCATGCTATTCTAGCTGCCTGCAGATCACAGAAAATATCCTGTCATCGATGAGGAAACGGCAAAACATCGTTGGGAAACGGATGTACAGTTTAAACTCTCATTGTAGAAAAATATTTCGACCATTTCTGTGGGGGACTTTTCTTGTTAACCTGGAGAAAGGGGTTTCCTTTTGTGCTGTTCGAGCCTTGGGCGCAGGGGGTTTTACAATTTGTCATGTTTTTTCTTAGATCCAATCTTGGTAAATTTAATATGGCCAAATATTTTAGCATGGCTGTTTGCCACTGCAAGAGAAGTAAAACAAAGGGAAGCGTTTCACACAGAGATTTCAAGCCTAGATTTTCTTGCATGAAGATACATTGCACTGACCAGGCTACTGATGGAGAAATAGTACTTAATTTGCTTTTATGTTTCTCTTCTTGCTTTCTGGCACTGTGTAGGGAAAGGGGGACAAAAAGGGCCTTCTGCTACTCCAAGGGGATGCAGGGGAAAGGGATTTTTGCAAGTTTGATGATAGAGATTATTAGAGATTTTGTTTTCTGGTAGAATTTGCCTGGGAGAGGCAAACTACTGCTGCAGTGACTGAGGCAAGCTCTTAGGGAGAACTTTCAGACCCAAAATAATTGAAAGCCCATTCTCCATTCCTAGTCACGCAGACTTGGAGTTTGATGCTTTATTCCAGTCTCAAAAGTTGATAACAGCAGACACAAGCAAAGTTTTTATGCTTCTTCCAGCTCAAATGTAGTGTCTTGGATGTTATGGATAAGTCAAGGAAGGCAGGCTAAATGTCAGTCAGGCTCTGGCAGGTGGAAGCTCTTCACCTTTAAGTTAATCCTGACCTGAGGACTCTGCTCAAAAATACCCTAACCACCGCCTTAAAGTCAGTCTTATGGAGTGTAAATAAATATCTGGTGTTGCTGAGCAGTGTTTGCGTTGCCTTGCTTAGCAAATGCCAGGCAAGTTAATTAAATTGTGTGATAAGTTGAGGGGAAAAAAATGCATAATGTGCAAAGCCTTTTTTTATGCTCATTTGCTGGGAAGGCAGTAGAGAAAAATGCAAAGCTGAGTAGAGGACACTGGTTTGGTTTTTTTTCCTCTGTAAAATAGAGACAGAACAAAGGGTCTGTCTGCCAACATGCAGCATGCAGTGCTGGGAGAGGGATGTACCAAAACCAGTGAATGAGCTGGATTGTAAACAGCTGAGGAAAAACAATAAACACCCCCAAAAATGCCAAACAGAAGGATACCAATTACTGCATGCAGAGGGACAAGTGGCAGAAGGGTCGTTTTTGTTCCCCAAAGGGCAGAGGCACAGCCTTCCTTTGGGAAGGCAGAGGGGCAAGAGCTTCAATGAGTCCTTGGGGTACAGAGCCCCACCAGCCACAGCGCCTGCTCAGAAATCACCCCCCAGCTTCTTTTTCACCTCATGGAAGTAAGAACCGCACCAAGCACTGGCTTGTGCTTGTGCTGACCAAGACTCAACCCAAGCAAAACATCCTCCCAGGTCTCAAGGAGCTGCCCCTTGCAAAACCCATCACAGAAGAAACCCGAGTGCTCCCAATGCCAGTCATTGGCACCTCAACATCCCTGCTCACAATTTCAAACCACACACATTGACCTCCACAATCTACTGAAGAACAGAGAGAGAAGAGCTGGTCACAGCCTCCAGATAAATCATCATTAAACCTGCCCATCCTGCTCAGAACTGCTTCCCACCGACTATCCCATGCAGCTGGAGAGACACAAACCTCCAGGGAATCCAAAGGTGTGGCCATATCTCTCCAGCTGCACAGAAGGGTTTAGAGAAACCACCTGGCAAGATAAGACTCAGGGCTAATGATCTGCCCAAGGTTTTTTTTGGATACTTACTGTTTCTCCTCTCTGTCCAGGGTGGCCAGGCAATCCATCCTTCCCAGGAGGACCCTACAGCAGAAAACCAGGGTGAGAAGGAACATCACTGAGTGCTCAGTGATAAAACTGTGCTAAGAGCTGAATCAACCCTGCTTGTCTCGGTTCTCATCTGTTTTACAGTGAAATTGGGGTGCTCAGAACCCTAAAAGCTACATCCCTTTCCCATAATAATTGCAGAGTCAGCAGTGTTGGTGTTGTGCTGTCCTTACTATGTACAGAGGGAGAATAAGGAACAGAGCAACCAGGAAAGATCCCAGAGATACTGAGTCATTAGGAAATGAACGTCTATAATCAGCTGCCATTTACTTGGCTATTTAAAATCCTAAACTGTCAGGTTATTATCGTGACATCTCCGTGAAGCCTTTTATTGGGTACATCAGCACTTGTCAGGCAGGCAGCTCTGCCTGAGCTGGCACAGGCAGTCACAGCTGGGTGGGAAAGGCTTTGGATTTCTTTGGATGCTCTAGAAAGTGAGTTACTTACAGGGGGGCCTTTTGGTCCAGGAAATCCAGTCGGTCCTTGAGGCCCTGGTGGTCCCTGGGATGAAAGACAAGCCAGAAAACACGGTTAAGGAACCTGTAACACTTCACTATGAAATACCAGCTCTGTGTGAGCAGCAGATGAGCACAAAGGTCTGGAAAGCCAAATACTGGGTGATTTTGTAGCAAATTTAAAAACAAAACCCAGTTTAAAAAAAAAAAAAGGCAGAAATTGAGGCTGAAATCATGAAAGCCCCATTGTTTCAGTTTTTTCCACCAGTCTGGGGAAAGCACTACGAGATTCTAGAGGAGTACATCCCCCAGAAATCCGGGGCTCTGGCTGCCTGCACAAAAGCCATGGGTGGCTTTCTCCTCTTCCCATGGAGTGATGTTTACACAGGACAGCCAAGGTCCCACATGAGCCTTCCCTGGAGAGCTCAGAAAGGACCTAAGGGCTGCAGGTGACTTGTGGGACCTCTTTCCACACACGCACCTTTCACCTTGGATTTCTGACTTGTCCTTTTCCTGACCGAGGTGTGCTGAGCTGCATCCTGGCTCCTGTGAGCTGCCCACTCACCTCTGCTTAACAGCTCACCTTGGGGGATGTTCACTGCCAAAACCCCTCAGCACCATCTCAGCCCTGCAAACCCTCATCTAAGTCCTGTTTTACCCCACCAGGTTGTCTTACCCTTTCTCCAGGAGGACCAGGGGGGCCATCACCACCAGAGTTGCCCTTTTATGAATAAAGAAAACAAGAGACCATTAAAAATACATCTATCACCATTGGAGCTGCTGTGTGCAAAGACTTCAAATGGCACCAAGCCCACGGTGGCACCACACCACCCACTCCCCTGTCCTTCTCTAATAATAATCCTGTATCAGGAGCAGCACCCAGTGACAAATAAGCAGCTGCTCATTCCTCCCCACATGGCTTAATAAAAATACAGGAAAGATAACATCAGTGAGCATGGGATATTTCCACTACACAATGGCCTCCCTCTGAGAGATAAATGCCACCACAAAGATGAGGTATTTATCAAAAATTCATGCCAACACAAAGGCAAGACATTTATTTTTATATCTGGCAGTGTGCTGCCGACGATGCCTCGCTACAAAAGCGTGGCTTCCATCATGCCCAGAGACATGGAATCAGTCATGGAATGGTCATGGAATCAGTCTGTGCAAGCAGGTTCTGGAGCTGAGTGTGCCTCCTCAGGCTGGCTGGGAATAAAGTACCTAGTTCTGCCTGGTGACCCATCCTGAGCCAACAAGGGGCAGGCAAAGAGGCTCGGCAAGGTGCAAGGATGTGGAGACCTTCACCCATGGCACAGCCTAAGGGTTCCTAGGTGATTCAAACACTACTTAAACACCTAAAAAGAGGGTTTAGAGGAGGTGTCAGGGCGTTGGAGGGTTGTGCTGATGTGGGAGAGCTCCCTCCCCTTCTTGTTGGGATGTCTCTAATCTGTGCATTTGATGTTGAATCGTGGGCCAACACATTTTTAGAACCTGTGCATGTGTTTTACAGTTGGGTTATCAGCCATTTAGCTGGGAACAGAGCTCAGAAGGGCTCAGCTTTCCAAATCCAATGGAGAAAGGAGAGGAGGGAAATGGAGGCAATGAACCATGTGGTCTCCATACCAACACTTGTTAGGATGTGACACTGAAGGCTCCCCAACACCTTACCTTTGGGCCAGGTTTTCCAGTGCTTCCCCTAGGGCCTCTTTCCCCACGTGGCCCCTTAAAAAGACACAAAAAGGCGACATTTTAGCCCTTTCTGCTACCCACAGCTACACTGTGATCAGGCAACAAGTCATCCCACCAGCACCAAGGGAGGACAGGAGCCATCACCACTCCCACTGCAGTCTGATGACTTCAAACCACGTTCACTGGTGACACCCAGCCCCAAGTCACTGTGTCCCCTCTGCTCAGCTGTGAGTGCTGAAGGCCAGATCCTACCCCCCAGTGAAGACACAAATCAGAACCCAGTTTCCCTTTTCCATGACAAGCTTTCAAAATGTACAAGAGAGGCTCGTTACCGTTGGACCACGCTGCCCCCTTGGACCTGGTTTGCCAGGTGTCCCCTGGAACGAAAAGATAGGAAGAGGAGTTAGCAACCAGCACCAGAACAGATGATCCCATCACAGAGTCCATTACAAAGCGCCTCAAAACCTCACTGGTTCTCAGCTGTGACAAAAAAAGTCAACAGCAGGTTTACTTTCACATTCTGTTTCTTGTATTTATTTTAATTTGTAATGCTTGGGCAGGTCTGGACAATTATCCCAGTGCCCAGACAGTATCTGTTATCTGAGGGAATGCCTCTCTGAAGGAACAGTATTCTGAATCCTTTAAAACACCACCAAGGCTTTCAAAGAGAGGGCCACCCAGTCAGACCATGCAATATCCCAAAAACCCACGGCACAGCCAGCAAAAAGCCATTCAACTCCCCCACCCCAACACCTATAATCCCTTTTTTTTTTTTTTTTTTTTCCCCACTGATCCCTGCTAATCCCTTCCCCCAGCTCCCAACAGGGGGAAGGGCTGGTCCTCACCCTGCTGTTCCACACGTGTTGCTGCTGCTCAACATTTAAGGACTGACAGCAGCAGAGCAGGGATTCCTGCTCGGAGCGCTTATTTTATGCCACACAAGCCAATTAAGCTGCCCTACATATTTACAAATCTTTCTTGGTCGCTGCAAACTCTGTGCTAAGCAAGTGATTGCAGGCATCGTTGTGCAGAGCAGGAGCAGGAGGCTCATGTGATCTGACAGATGCACTCAGCTCCCCTGGTTGGGTGACTGTGATTAATCCTGACGGAGAAAAGACAGAGGGTCCTAAATCTGGCACTACATTAAGCTCCATTACCCTACTCCTCAAAGCAAACTAATGGCCTGAAAACACTTATTTTGGCCGGTGTCAAGTCTCAAAAAAAAAAAAAAAAAAGAGCTCTGAGAGGTTTATCTTTCCCCCCTTTGGACCTGCAGCTCATTAATGGTACCAATCACCTGGTAAAAGGAAGGGTGAGGAAGACTCGATTCCTGTGCGAGGAACACTGAATGCTTAAAATATCACTTGCCATTTTCTGCCCCAAATCCATCATCTCGCTATCCTGTTTTCCCGTATCTGGCACTCATTAACCAGCTGAACATAAAACAGGAGCTGGGAAACTTTACAATCAACTTTCTCTAAGCTACTAAAATTAGTCCTGCTGAATCCTCCTTGTTCTGCGGCTCCATTTAATAAACCCTGCTGGCATACTTTTTTAAAATTAATTACAAAAATCACTTTAAAGTACTCCAGCTGGTTTTTCTTTTAGCTCTGGGAGGCTAATTTTGGAGCAGGTGGAGAGGAGTGTGTGCTGTCTCCCCTCAGGTAGCCCCCACACTCCTCTCCTTCTTCCTCAATTCTATTTTTAAGCAAAATTCCCCCTTCTCATTGCTGTCATTAATCATGCATTCAGCCCCATGTACTGTTGCAAAGAATTTATATAGCACTGTAAATGCACACAGACCTATATTTTTCAAACAGAAATCCTGACATAAAGCCATCTGAATTCCGATTATTTTCTAGGCACACAAATAAATGGTTGGATTTGGGTCCCTCCACAACCCCCAGGCTCTGTCAGGGCAGGGAGATCTATTACCCCCTGCTAATGGCAGAGGCCCATCAGCTCTAAAAATAAGATCACTTATTCACGTCCAGCTATTGATTTTATGGTCAGGTTTTTGATATATCCAAGCAAGCTCCCCCCGAGCTCACTTGGAGCTGAGGACAGGCAGGGTGGCCAACAATATTGGGGTATTTAATGGGTTATAATTCTCCAACAACACCAAACACGGAGTCACAGATTGGTTTGGGTGGGAAGGGACGTTACAGATCATCTCATTCCACCCCCTGCCATGGGCAGGGACACCTCCCACCAGCCCAGGTTGCTCCAAGCCCCGTCCAACCTGGCCTTGGACACTTCCAGACCTGTGCCAGGGCCTCCCCACCCTCACAGGGAAGAATTTCTTCCTAATATCTGATCCAAACCTTGCCTCTGTCAGTTTGAAGCCATTCCTCCTTGTCACTCCAACAACACCAAAATTCAGCTGCCTGTGCTGGTGTGGCTGCCTTGGATTTTCACCTTTTTTTTTTAAAAATTATTTAAGGCCTTGGGAAGACTGTTTGTGCTGCTGAAATAACAAGCTGCAAAGCTTATTTCCATTTTGCAACGAGAATGAGTTGCAATGAAGAAACGAGTTGATTCACATTATTTTGGACACATAAACCACGCTGAACAGGGTAATGGTAATACCTTGTTAAAGAAAAGACAAATAAATGATTTGGGGTTGTTTCAGCTGCAAATTGGGTTATTCCACAAGGCACAGGAGAAGCAAATCTTGGAAATTCTCTTTCTTGACTCTGTGTGAACACACTTATAAAACCAGCAGATTTAGTGGTCTTAGGAGAAACAGAGGGGGATTTATCAAATCTAACTCAACGAGGCTTAAATTAAGATGATGGTCTCCATTTGGACTGGAGCAGTGTGATCCCAGCTCAGCCTATAATTCTGTATATAATTGCTTTTCTCTTATTTCAAATGGGATACTTGGGAGGGAAAAAACCCACAACAATGCAGATACCAAAACTGTTACTAAAAATCAGTATTTTTGCTATTAAGAAAAATTTCAAGCTGGGCTCCTTTTGCTAAAGGAAAGATTTGTCCCTGAAAATCTTCCCTCTCACACACATACAAATAGAAGGATAGAACAAGTGCAGGCTGCTGGATGGGGTGTAAAATGGCAGAAATGGTCCAATCACACATTGAAAATAAAATATAAAAACAAATAAATAAAAAAAAAATTAAAATTTCCATGGAGTAAACCAACATTTGAAATGTAAGAAAACTCTTTTTAATTCCTGAAAAAACGTGTGGCCTGCCAAGGGGTGTAACTAAGTGTCCTCACCACCTGCATTAAGGGTACAAACCTCATTTAGAATAAAAATGAGCAAACTGATGATTTTTTGCCTTTTTTTTCCCTTATCATTGCTTGGTTCTGAAGTTGGGGCCTTTCCCCTCCCTCCTGCTTCATCCACCATCCCTTTCAGGCTGGATAATGCCAAAATTCAATCAGCCTAACCCTTGGGGTTGGTTCCAAACTCGTAAACTACCAATTCCTGGTACCTGAAATGTTTCCCAACCCACCAGGATAAAATTGGCCAACGGACGTGGAGGGATGTGGATGCTCAGGGATGCAAAGCAGCACATCTCCCATCTCCTCCCCTGCTGTTTTACACCAGCCAAACCCCCAGCCCAAGGGTTTTATTGCTGCATATTTGATAAGATGGGTGGTAATTACAGGGCTTCAGTGAATTCAAGGCTGTGGTGGCAGCTGCCTTGTTCCTGGGCTCCCTCCTCCTGCCTGGCTGGAGCAGAGGGAGGGATGAGGATGTGCATTTGTAGCTCAGAATAAAATGAAATTACTCAGTGGAATAAAAAAAAAAAAAAAAAAAAAAGGGGAGGGTGGATATAAACCAAATTTCAGTGGTATGATATTAATGCAGTGCAAAGTGATTTATATTTGCTGGGCTCCTCTCAAACCCGTCTGTTAGAAGTCATTTGTATTTAAATGAGAGCAAAAAAGGAAACTAATTCCACTTGCTATCCTCACTCCCCCTTCTTGTCACTGTGACCAGAGCTGGTGCAGAAAATGACTTTGTTTGTACTCTGAATCCCTTAATTCAAGCATGTTTTTCACAAGATAAAAAATAAATCTGTATATTTAGACAATCCCTATGCAGGGCAAAGTCTGTGGAGGTGGGTGAGAGGTAGAGACAAGTCTGGGGGATGGAGCCCCCACACTTTAAGGGTGAACTTATGAATTTTGAAGAGCTTATTAAAAGGAGGAATTGGTACGAATTTTCAGCTCTGCATTTTGAATTTCCAGTTAGGTTAACGATGGTTCTTGCTGCTTCAGAGCAGGTTCACCCATCTCTAATAATTACTGTTAATTAAAAAGCTCTTCGTGCCCTGAGCAAAAGTCTGACAGGGCGGGAAGGATTCAGGTTCAAAGGAGTCCCTTAAAATACCTTGAGGGGGAAATTTCCAGGGTTTAATTGGAAAGCTGCAGAGCTGACTGTGCTATCCCCAGCATCCTCCTCTCCCAGCAGCCAGAACTGGGAGCCTCTCACTGGTCCTGTGCTGGGAATCTCAGCCTGGGACGAGACTCTTGGGGCAAAAGCCAAAGAGTTGATGCCCACGTGCTGCCCCGGGAGCTTCGGAGGGAACTAAATCAGCAAAGCATCCAGACAAAGCAGTTCTTACCCGTGTGCCCTTCTCTCCATTGGCTCCTGGAAATCCTGGGAAGCCGATTGAGCCCTTTTGGGGGAAGAGCAAAGAGAGGGTAAGAGGTTCTGGACATGTAAAGGGACAGCTCAGCCCATCCACCCCAGCCCGGGCTGAGCCGCCAGCATTTACAGCTCCCAGCCCTCGTTTCTTAAACCTTAGTAACGACACAAGCACAGACAGACCTGAAATGACCTCAGAAACAAAATTTAATCCAGAAATAACAACAACAAGAGGAAGGTCCATGCCTCATTAGCAGCCACTGCAAAGACCAAGCCCACGGTTGTGGCGGGCGCCCAGGGAACAGGCAGGAATTTGGATTTTTAGCTCCTAAGTCACCACGTTACACATGAAAATTTAACTCCTGGCTTGTTCCTTTCTGATGTGAGTGCCTGGAGATTAGCTGCTGCTGCTTTCAAAATATGAATTAGTCAAAGAAATGCAAAAAACTCCCAACCTCTACCCCACATATAAAATGCAAATTAAAAAAATAAACCGTCAGCGCCACAACCACGAAACTGAAGAAACAATCTCTTGCAGATAATTACGTCTCCAGAATTAAACAAGTCTGGGTTTTTTTTTTTCTTTTCTTTTTTTTTTTTTTTTTTTAAGCAATGAAGATGAGTAATAAAACACAATTCTTAAAAAAAAGTTAACAAAAACATAAGTTCCCAAAGCCTCCAGGGCATGTAAAAACTGGGCTGTAGCCTTCATCTGTGTAGTGGAATTCACAGTTTTAATTTAAAAAAAGTGACTTGAAAATGGCCCAAATGAAGGTGGGCGTGTAGATAAGCTACAAAGGATGTTTGCAAATCTGCAAAATGGCAGTTTTATTTTCATTTCAGGGAGGCCCTGATTCATTATTCATTCTAATACTTAATTAATTAGGTAACACTAGCACAGATCTTGGGAGATATAAAACATAATACAAGGGGAAGGACTATTATGCCTAATCCCAGCATGAAAGCTCACAAGGAGCCTGTTTGCATCCATCACCAAAGCAGTCCTGCACGCCCCATCCCCTCTCCATCTCTTCCTACCACTTTAGGAGACTGAAGCCATGCACAACCAGCCCCTGAATCCCACCGAGCCAAGGGCTGGGAGCTATTTTTACCCATCTATATTTTCCTCCTGCCTGGGTGGGAAGGAAGGACCTCATCCCACGAGTGGGGGGGGCTGAGCCTCCTGCACGGCTGCACTGGCAGAGCCCGGCTGTGTCACTGGGCTCCCCAGGACACCCCACCCCTCCCAAAGACCCCCCCAAGCCCAGTTACCTTTGGGCCCTGCCTGCCTGGGTACCCAGGCAGTCCTGGCACGCCGAGTTTTCCCTGGAACACAAATAAAAGTGCGTTATCTTGGGCAAGAGACCTCGGGAGCAGCTTCAGATCCGCACCCGCAGAAAGGGGAGACGCCAAGTGCAGGGAAGTCAAGAGCAAAGCAGATGAGATGTGGGTGGAATAAAGCTCTTGGGGCACTGGGATCACCCTCTGCCCTCCCTGAGGGACACCCGGGGGGGGTGGTACAGGGTGAACACTGTAAATGTGCTGGGAACTTGGTGGGAATGGTTGGGTTTTTATATCTTTTTTTTTTTTTTCTGACTGGATGAACACAGAAATTAGACTGGAGTCTGTGATACTTTCAATTTCTCTATTTTTTACTCCCAAGCAGATAATCCCAAAGAGGTCATGTGTCAACACACTCAAGTCATGCTGCTGCACTAAAACCACCTTCCTGGGATCTCCTCTGGTCTTTGTGTTGAACGACTCAGGCCTCCTTTCACACAAAGCTCCTACAGCTCCTCTTCATCCCCCTGCCCTAAAACCGTCCCTGCCACGCTGGGCACTGCTCTGGCCATCCACCCAAGACACCCAAATAAAGGTGGGTTTTAGTTAAAACACCCCTGGGTGATTCCCTCCTTGAGACTCACCTTCTCTCCAGCAGGACCAAGAGGACCTGGATCTCCATTGGGGCCGGAGCGACCTTTGGGACCCTCGGGACCATCCTCACCCCGGGGGCCAGGAGGTCCAATTTCCCCCTGTGAATCAGAAGACAAGCGTTGATGAGGCAGGAGGGTCCCAGACCCCATGTTTGCTGCCAGCAATACCCCCCCAGGTGCCATCAGATCCCCCTTGGAGCTCCCAAAACAACTCCTGGGGAAAGCTGCTCTTCACCAGGAGGCTCAGGCAAGACTGTCAAGTGTGGAGTGTTACCACCACACCTTTATTCCCATAGCCTGGCCATCATCTCCCACACAACGTCCATCTTTTGCTGCAGCATCCACACACAGAATCTCTCCACAGAAAGAGCCTTCATTAGCTCTGATTGCAACGCACCCTGAATTGCCTTTGAACAATAACACATGGGTTTGAAAAGCCAAAGCACTACAAGATCACATCAGTCACAGACTCTTACCCGGTCTCCTTTGATGCCCATATCACCTTTGAAGCCAGGGAAGCCATCTTCACCCTAAATAATAGAGAGGGGGGGAGAAAAAAAAATCAGACAAGGTGTATAGAAGGGGAAAAAAAACAGGAAAAAACCCACTTCTCTAGATTCACTGCTCAGAGAGGGCAATCCCCACACTGCCCATCACTTTGGCTCCTCTAAGCTCTTTGGTGTGAACAAACAGCCATGGAAACCCAGCCAGGCTGTGGCTGATCCCAGGGGATCCCAAAGAAGTGTTCCCTCCATCCCATGCTGGCTGCAAGCCGAGTCCACAAATCTGGCCTGGTGTGAATAACACCACCTCGGCAGGACTGGGAACCAATTATTTCTGGAGTACAACTGGTTTTCTTTTCGTGGAGGATGTTTTACACCAGGCTCCCAGGCAGCCTCTAGGACACTGGCAGTATTTCTTTCAGCCAAGAAGATTTAATTGCAGAGCTCCAATCAATAATGTATCTCATCCTACAGCTAATCCCTGATAGGCAATGAAGACACAGTTCCCAGAAAGACTTTTAAAGTCTGGAAGGTCCCTGCAAGGATTCCCTTGCTAAAACTGATGGATTTGCTCCTGAATTGCTGGGGGAGGCAGGGATGAAGGAGCAGGGATTTGTTTATGGGACTGAGCAAGATTTTTCTCCATCTCCTGCTCTTCCTCTGGGAGAAACCAACTGCATCTTTGGGACATGCAGGGATACACTGTGTTGACTCTCTCATTGATTTGGGTCCCAGGCAACACATCCTGTGCCCAGTTATCCAGCTGTAACACTCACAAAATCCTTCAGGCTCCATGGAATCACTCCAGAAACAAATCTTGTCAGGGGAAATCACCCCAACACCGGACTCTGGGCTGTCCATCCTGCACCCAGCCCACAAGCAAAGAGTTTATGGGTCCTTTGGGTGCTCAGTGCCACTTCTTGTCCAAGAGAAACCCCTTGTGGAGAAGAAAATGTCCCGGGGAGCATCCTGTGGGACCCATCTGCAACAATGCTCAGAGGCTTTAGAGATTCAACCCAAATGTGCAGAATTAACTCACCTTTTCACCTTTGGTGCCTTTCAACCCGCGAACTCCATCTGCTCCCTTGCAGGAGATAAAACAAGATGTTACAATGGTATCAGTACAGTTCAGAGGGAAGAAACTAAAAAACGCTATTAATTATGGTGATTTTTTTGCTTTCTCTGATGACATTGGGATTTCTACAAACTGCAATGTTCCTAAACATATTGCTGATTAAATATCAGCTGCTGACCCCTGGCTTTTGGCTCACCAGGGAGCATCTTAAAGTCATCAACCTCTGCTGACTTTATTTTGGGTTGGTGGACTCTACCCGTGAGTTCTGTTTCCAGGGATAAAGTTCACTATTAAAAGTTTTTTCATACAAACATCCCTTCTCTTGGGATAAATCATCACCCTCGATTATCTACACCAGCTGTACAGTGCAGCACAAAACCCACTCCCATATTTTGGGTTTTTTTTGACGAATAATTTGCTATTTGGGGTGTTTAAATTTTTTCCTTCCCTTTAACATGTCAAGAAAAAGTATAATTAGAAGTACATCAAATCTCTGCCACAGAACAGGATTCTGGTGAGCAAGGCAAGGTCTAAGAATTATTTATAGCTACAAACCCAAACATTTTTTTTTCCAGGCTGGAGGCTCGTGCAGTTAATAGAACTCTGCCTGGAGGAAGCCAAACCTCTTGTCTGTAGGGTCTGGTGCATGACACACTTTCTGCAGCTCACTTTAATGTGGAACTTGTTCCACTTGAGTGGTAAACACCACAGCCAACCATTCCCTAATGGATCACTACGGCTCAATCTGCAACCTTGCAAGAAATGAGGTGGAAGTTTGCTTTGGCTAAATCCCGCTTAAATTTTGAAGGCAGAACAGCAAACGGGTTTCTGCTACTGGAAAAAAAAAGGGGGCTTAAGAGGGTTTAACTTCATCTCTAGTCAGTCCCCAAGCTGTGTTTGTACCTGCCAGTGCAGAGCCCTGCAGATTCATTGGGCCTGTGGGATGCAGGATGCATCTGCACCTGAACTAATGCATCTTGATGGGTATAACAGCCAGGGCTGAACGGGGAAAAAAAAACCCACTGCCTTGTCATCAGCATGCAGGGCTGCAGGCAGCAGGAGCAAGGAAAAGCTGGAATTCAATCTAGTGACAAAGCTCATTGCTGAGATGCACAAACTCTGTCTAACAAGGCTTTGGATCAGGAGCATGAAAAGCTCACTTTGTTGTAGTAATAGGCTGGTTTGTTTTATTAACAGGCCTTGTTAAAGTCTTCACATTCTGGCTGAGATTCACTTTGGGTTGTAAACTGGAAACAATGGGAATGGGAGCGAGCCATGCTCACTGGGAATTACAAGAGGAATCTCTCCAAGGCACTGAACGGTGCCAGGAGGGGCTGATGGGAGGCAGGAAATTTGGAATCCTCATGGATGGGAGAAGATGCTGGACTGAGACTCGCTCCAGCAATAAACGCTCTTGGTCGCTGAGGTGGCCCTAAGAGCCATGGTAGGACATCTGTCCACCTCCAGCAGAGGCTGGAGAGCTCCAGCTGGACAATCAATGCCATGGACACAGTTCCTGTGCCCTCCTTACCTTGACTCCGCGTGGTCCGGGGTAACCGATGGGGCCCTGAGGGCCTGGGGGACCCTGGGGGGAGCAAAATGCAAAAAGGAAAACGCGTCAAAACCAAAACAAAGGAGCTGAGAAAAGGCCCACCCAGGCACCAGAAGAGGCAAGCAAGCAGGTGAAATCCGGGGGTCAGCTTTCAAATTTCAGCCAGGTCTGCTTCTTGCCACCTCCCCTGCCCCACATCCCTGCCTGCCCAGCCATTCCCACAGCCCCACGGAGATCTGGCACCCAGGACCTTCCCCTTAGCGGTGATGAGGGTCTTGTGGACACCTACCTGACTTCCCTTCTCTCCAGGAGGACCTTCCTTGCCAGGATGACCCTGTTAATAATAGAGACAAAGAGAAGAGGATTTGGGTTTTAGTGCACATCTCAAGCTTCAGAAACCAACAAGCTGGTCTGGCAGTTCAGATTTATTTGTCAGAGAACAGTTGCTCCCCAGGAAGCTCCGACTGCGACAAGTGGTCCCCCTGAAACCACCTTGCAAGAGTAAGCTTGTCCCAAAAGGAAAAGAGCAGCATTTGTCTCCTTGGTGGTTTTCTACCTGGTTATTTATGTTTTGCTCTTCCCTGCCTTTCAGCAGAGAAGCACAAACCATTTTTTCAATATTCTTTGTATATTTGAACAGCTTGGTGAGTTCAGCAGCATTTGAATTTTGCAGATAAGGAAAACAGATAAAATCAAGTCCATGTGTCAGCAAACTTGTGAAGGTCACAAGATGCCCAGACTGGTCAGAGCCCCTCATTAAATTCCTTATTCCTGGAGTCCAGTACAAGATCTCATGACAAACGCTCAGCTAACCTGCATCCCTGCTAGACAGAGGCAGGCTGGATGCTGGCCAGCATTCCTCTTGGGATTTGATGCTGAATAACTTGACTTCCAAGAGTTTCCAACACATTCTCATTGATAGCCAGTTGGAATTCTTTTTGCAGAAGAAAACAGACGTGTGAATTGCCTCAGATGCAGTTTAGGGGGTTGGTGAGAAATTAGGGAAGTCCATGGAAGTAGTTTTTAGTGATTTCCCTACTGTTGGATCCAAAATGGAGCCAGGATGGAAGGTGAGTCTTGGGTTGGAAATGTCTGGACGACAAAAATAACCCCTGCAAGGGCTTCACACCCAGAGACCTTCATTTTATAAGGATGATGGAAACTTCTTTAGCTGCTCTAAAGCCACTCAGACCTTCTGCACTCAATGGATACTCTATTTATGAACTCTCTCCTTTAAATACAGCAGTGAATTTCTGCCACTATCACAAAGAAAATTTCAAGAGTGTTTTCTGTCATCAGATTCAGAATGGGAATGTCAGATGAGCTGCATTTCATAAAATAAGCTGGATTAATAAAGAAACCAAATGGCAGCTGTCAGTTTTAGACTTAAAAAACGAAAAAAAAAAAGTGGAAGAAAGTCCAATCTCAGTTTTTTCCTGTGAGTTTAAACGGCACCAAGAGCGTCAGTGCACAAAGGGGCTCACGGAGCCTTCAGCTCCAGGTGTGTCCCTGCGCTCCAGGGGAGGCACAAGGGACGTGCAGCAGGAGGACTTCAAAAGCCCTGGCCCAGCTCTGCACTAAATCATCAACGTTTTCAAAATGCCCATCTCCATCACTGCTGCTGAGATCAAAAAATTGATGAGCAGCTGAGTTGGCTTTCGTAGCGAAGCCCTCGGGGATTTTCAGGTGCCTTCCAACACCGCCTTCTATAAATAGAACACAGGCGGGTTTTTGTCCTTGGAAAGAGCAACCCCCACGCTTCCAAAGCCTCAGGATCTGCACAAATCCACAGGTCTAACAGTGGGACAGGGCCCATGTCCACACCCCCCCACACGTGCTCAGCCTGCAGGTCTCACACAGCCTCCAGGCTGCATAAAAATAGACCCGGCGGCTTCTCCAGCTGAACCTCCCTGGAGGTCCCTGCAGGAATTTCACATCAAAAACTACAGATTTAGAGATGTTCTGGGCTTTGCTTTAGCTGCTCTGTTGACTCAGCTAACAATTGTACCGATGTTCCAAGTGCCCCTGGTAGGAATGATAATCCCAGGGTGGGAAATGTAATTTTTTTAAATTTTTTTTTTTTCCCCACGCTCTGCATTTGCATTAATAGAATGCAACCGCTTTACATTTTTCATTCTTAAAACCAGGTGCCAGTGAGATGGGTTAAAAATGAGCTCAGGTTTAAAGGCTGGAGATTTTTAAGACCGATTTCGAGAGCAAGGAGCAAATTCTGTTTAAAGCAGGATTACAGGAGGGAGCTGCAAGAAAAGAACGGTGACATGTAATTTCACCCTGTTCTTATCACCGCTGTGCAGCCGTGCCTGGCTACCCTGAGAGAGGTGAGGAGCACCCTGGGCATGTGCTGTGGTGTGCATAAATACACACAGAGAAACCTGTCCCTGCTTCAGGGAGCTGCCAAAGTTTGGAGAACCGAAAAGAGGAACAGGTGGAAGGCAAAGAGGCCTGAGGAGTTGGTGAGAAGCACCCAGGGTGAGCAAAGCTGGGAGCCAACACAGGGGCAAGGGTGAGCCTGACCTTGTGGGCTGTGCTGTTTGATTCCATATTAAATTATTTTTATCTCAGCCCATGAGTTTTCCAGCTTTTACCCTTCCCATCCTCTCCCCGACCCCACTGGTGGGGGGAGAGAGGGAGTGGCTGTGTGAGGTTTGCTTGCTGGCTGGGGTTAAGCCACGATGTGGGATCATGAATTTCACAAGCCCAAGGCCCATTCCATGTTGGATGGGGCAGGATCCAACCCTGTGCCAAGCAGGGAATTAGGAAAGGATGACTTACCGGAGGCCCATCTGCCCCAGGCATGCCAGGGAGACCAGGTTTGCCCAGCGGCCCCTAAAAACAAACAGAAAGTCAACAGTTCAGTGGTCAGAGTCTCCAGAGCATCAGAGGACAGGGCTTTTCAGCCACATTTCTTGCTTTTTCTATCTGTGGAAGGCTGCACAGACTTGAGTCTGCTGGGAAAGCTTCCATGATTTGTAGGGGGTCTGTTTATGGCAGAGTTGTCCCAGAGTTCCTGAGAGCTCAGGGCATGGGGCACCACCTTTGTCCTGCCAGAGGGACATGGTGCTGCATAAGGGCTCCAGGACAAGGTGGAGGATGTGAAACTGTGGGGTCATGGGATCAAGAAATGCCCATTCTTTGGTGACAAATCTCAAGGTGGTTAAGGAGGAAGGGAGCTGCCCCAACTGGCTGCTCTAACACTGCTCACTGAGTACCTTTTAATTAGCAGCCCCTGATTTCTCACTCCACTGGGAAGTGCCACTTATCTGACAGAACTTTAATGTGCTCCTTTGCAGGGGAATTATCAATAACTTGAGTCCACTCCACACAAGCAGAGGCTTCTCCCAGTGCACACACCAGGACACACACTTCCCATTACCATCCAAAGCGTTCAGCCCACAAAAAAAGGACAATTTTCAGTCCTCTCCTAATGTTTTACCATAGGCTGCCTTCAAAATGTTTCTCCTCAGAGGGGAAATGAATGCAAATATTATGAATTCGAGGTAAACCGTGCTGTCTTGATCTCTCCTCTGTCTGGAATGAGAGGCATTAGACTTTCATGGACACAGCTGCAAACAGATGTTGCATATGGGGCAAAGGAGCAGCTGAGGGAGCAAATGCATATCAGTGGCAACAGTTGTCTGAGGCCAGAGCTGTAATATTGAAACGTACTTTCTCTCCTGGGGGACCGATCGCGCCTTGTGGACCTGGAAGACCCTGTGAAAAGAAAATAAATAAATAAATAAAATAGAGTCATTAAGGAACAAGTTATTCCTTCTAAATGCATCTTGGCAAAGTCTCAGCTGAGCATTATTCTAGTGCCTGTGATGGCTGGGGGTTTCCCCAGCTCTATTCGTTCTCAAAATGTCTTGTGAAGGACGATGAAATCCCTTTTTAGCTCAGTGTGGCTCCTTGGGAGAGGTGCTCCACCTGGTCATGGGCAGCGGGGTGGAAACAGAGCTGCTCTGAGGAGCAAAACTCTCTGGGAGCCGTGGAGAAGGCTGACAGCAAGGCTTGGACATCTGTATTACCCAGCTGGCTCCGGAGCAACTGGACTGTGGGAATGCTAAAAATCAGATGTGAGCCACAAGATGTGACTCAGCCAAAGGGACGGCTCAGACCTGGGCTGGGCTTTGCACCACCCAGCAACAGCCAGGTGAGAACTGGGGGGATCTGAAACTGGGAGCATTTTCAGGGAGGTTTTGGACCAGCAGTGTATCACCAAGCCAATTCCCAGCAGGTCTCCATGTTGCTGGTCCCGTCTCTGGCAGGGGAGCGAAACTTGTGTTAAATTATCATTCCTTTTCCCTACCTTTGGAAAAGGAGTTTTGCTCTTACCTGAGCACCTGGGTTACCCTGCTGTCCTGGGGGACCTGGCTCACCTTGAGGACCCTGTGAGGAGGGACGAGGGAAGAGATGAAGGCAGGAAAGGTGGGAGCAGGGCCAGTGTGTCCTCAGGCACCACGACTCCTGTCCTGCACGGACACCTGGATCCCCCTGTGTTCCCACTGCCTGGATAGACCTGAGCTCCCAGATCCACACCCTCACAGCTGCTTGAACCCTCTCGAACCCTCCGCCAGTAACCAAAAGCTCCTGGAAAAAAGTTTCTCTCCCAGTGGGATAGGGAAGGGGGGGAAGTTACTTCCAGGCACACTCCTTTCTCCGCAGGGATTTGCAGCCCAAATGAGCTGAGCAAGGCTCTGACACTACCTGGCTCTGCATCAGCTCTTCTCCAGGGAATCCATTCCATCTGATCCATGCAGAGTACGAGGCATATAAAGGCCTTTTTTTCCTCTCAGTTAAATTACTGTATTTTGATATTCATTAGACCAACACACATCTCGATGAAAACGTTTCATCTTTCATGGGGAAATAATGTGTAATTCCATCAGAAATTACAATAAATTAACATCCATTTGCTGTAGGAAGATATTCTTGTTTTTCACAGGCTCTGATAGGAATCTAGACCGGGCTAAAAAGCAATTAGCAAATCTAATCTAATGGAGTACATTTTACATTTTGCTCCATATATCTGAGCTGCCCGTAAAAATTTGCAGTGAGAACTTACCACATTCCCTTTGGGACCTGTTTGTCCATCCATACCAGCCACACCCTGAGAAAGGATTTAAAAAACAGCAGTAAGAAAATTTCTCGTTATTTTGCACCAGAAAAGCGGGGAAATTGCCATAAAAAATAGCAAAACATTGGGAGGCCCTTTGGGCCACGTGGAAAGGTAACAATTTTTTAAAGGTGTTTGGTAGAGCAGCCAATTCCACGGATCCAGTTTACACTTTAAAAAATCATTTCAGTGTTTTCCCCACTGGTTTAACCTGCCTGGGAGGAAGAATCAGCACCAGGTCGAGCAAATCCTGGCTAAATACCACAGCTGGATTGCCTCTGACAGCAAACAGGCACAGAGCAGCAAAGGAAAACGGGAAAAAACACCTGCCTTGGGATGCAAGGCATCATTCAACCAGGTAGCAGGGAAAGGCAACAGAGCTGAGCTGCCTTGAGCCAAAACAAAGGGCAACTAGGCTCAAACTTTCCCTGAGGGGATAACCTGGTGCATGGTCAGGTGGAGATGTGCCCCTGTCACTGGTTTATAATGATGGGATTGTTAAGGTCGGAAAAAACCTCGAAGATCATCGAGTCCAACCATCAACCCACCACCACCACTGCATTCACCATTAAATCATGTGCCCCAGTGCCACATCCACATGGTTTCTGAACACTTCCAGAGATGGTGACTCCACCACTTCCCTGGGCAGCCCATTCCAATGCTTGGCAACCCATTCCATGAAGACATTTTTCCTAATAACCAATCCAAACCTCCCCTGGTGCCACTTGTGACCATTTCCTCTCATTTGGTTACCTGGGAGAAAAGGCTGACACCCACCTCCCACTACAACCTCCTTTCAGGGAGAGGGCAAGAAGCTCTCCCTGAGCCCCCTGTTCTCCAGGCTAATCTTTTGCTGTGGGGCAGCACAAAGTATCTGGGTATTACATCACATCTGTGGGAGATGAGACAGTTTTGGAGCAAATCCTGCATTAGATTTCTCCTCATTAAATTTCAGCAGGTCTGGGAGCTCCCAGCAAAGATGTCTCCACATCCCAGGAGGGGTTAAGGGCTTAACAACGCTCCCCCATTAAACACTGACCCCTTCAGCTCCAGCAGGGTTTGGGTTTTTAAGTTTTGGGACTCCAGCAGGCAGCAGTGATTTAGGGAGACAGCCCCTGCATCAGCACTTCCAGGGATAAGGTGACTGTCTCCTGAATATAAACCAATGTGCTCCTTCCTCAGCTTTCACCTAAGATATGAACAAACTGTTTTAAAGCCTCACCAGCCCTCAGGCAAAAGTTAATAGCAAAGCCACTGTGTTAATAACTCCCATTCTTGCCCCTCAGCCTGAGCGAGGCATTAATATTTACTCAGGTGGGTCGAATCTTCAGCTGCCCTAAATGGACGTGACACCACTGGAAATGGGGGAAAATAGAGACTTTGAGCCATCTTTTTTTTTTCTTTCTTTGAAATACCACTGCTTTTCATTGCACAGATGTAGAAAATCATGCAGCTGGATCATCTGCCTGAATGACTGATGGGGATGGGGTATTTTTGTCTGCAAGGCTCAGGCAGGGCAGCAGCGCCGGGGAACTCACCGGTGGCCCCGGGGGTCCTGGTGGCCCCTTCGGTCCCAACAGTCCTCGGGGTCCCTGTGGTGGTGGGGGGGAAACAAATGTGGTTAAGCATTCCCAGTGCCCAATTCCCCCCAGCATGGATTAGGATGAGCTCGTGCCTGGCTGAGCACTGCACTGCCCAGGGACACGTCAGGGCTGGCAGTGCAGCAACAGCAGCTTTCTTGACTTACAGACTGGGAGGGGGAAGAAATCCTGTGTGCACATAGCCTTGAATTATAAAGATAAATAATACAGGCATTTATTCTTTGGATTGGAAGAAAACCCGCTTGAACCAACTTGTTTTGATTAATTCAATCATATTCCTGGATTACCCTGTAATGCACACAAGGATGCAAAACGCTTTGCAGCCAAGTCATTCTAGATGGGGAGTGTTATGAAGGATGACTTGATAACACTAATGGATTGTTAGGGTCAGCATTTCGAAATCTCTCCAGATTTAGCTTTTATCATCAACAATCTATACAACTCAGCAAGGCTGGGAAAGGTTTTCAGCCTACAGCACAAATGTACATTTTCAAAGCCATTTGGTTCTTCAGCTTTAACCAGTCAAGACTCCTGGTATTCTGGTGTTTTCTTTCCATTTCCAGCTTTCTCACCACATTTAACCTCATGTCATCTTCGGGGAAATTGGTAGGATTGGAGAATCACACTGAATAAGCAGAAACAAGGCAGGGGGGTTGCATTCCTGCAATAGGAAGCTCTGCAAATCACATCCCAGCACCTCCTGGACCTCCAGGAGCAGGAAAGGGATGGGGTCTGTGTGCACTCACTGCAGGTCTGAGAGCTCATCTTTTAAAACAGGCCCTTTCTGAAATGAGGGACCATAAGGGAACACTGGGAATTCGTGTGGATGATGCTCATTCATTGTCATGGTGGAAAATCGTTCATGATTGATGAGCGGTCTCATCTGTCTGCTCAAATATTATATGTCCCCCTTTTTATGATGCAGAGAGAACCGAGGATTTAAAATGAAATGTTACAGGGTAAAGTGACATTAATAAAGTGCCTGATCCTGGAGGCTGTGGGGATTTTGATCCTGCAAAAAACGCCAGCCAAAACTGGATGCATCAACCAAGGGATCTGTCCCAGGCACTGAAAAAGCTGCACAAACCCCAGCACAGCAGGAATTCTGCTGCTGTCAACTGATGGGAACTGGAAGGAAATGGAGCAGGATGAAGGCAAACCCATTTTGAAGTCCCACCAGTAGTTTCAGTCACTGAAAAGACCCTCCTTAGGCTCAGGGCAGAGAAGAAGAAAAACACACAGATTTAGGATGTTTATATTTATGACAAAGCTTCCTGTAATGCAACTGAAACCTTTGTTCTGGCCATCCCAGGTATTTTTACTCACGTTGCTGAAACAAAAATAAACTTCCCTGCGTCTATTACCGTCATTTAAGCTCCTCTTTTGTTGCTGTGTTACCTGAGCACATAAAAGCTTTTAAGAAGTTAATAACCCATAAGTTATTGCTTAGACATGTGCTAAGGAGATAGCTGAGTTGATTAATCTTTCCCAGAAGTTAATCAGACATCTTGTCTATAATTTAGTTCCAGTGAGTCTGTAAATGCCAACCCTTCCCTTCCTCACATGAACTGTGTCCAACAATTCCCATCAATTACTCTCGGGCCACCACGCCGCGCCTTAGAACAACCAAATAAGACATTTTGAAAGCAAAGCCGGCGGTAAATGACAGATAATGTTCTTTTCATAACAAAGGAAATGCATTTTGGATGAAATAAGCAGCCAACAACTGTACTACACGCAAAAATCTTCAGCCAGCCAGAAGCAGGGCTTGCTGTTGCCAGTAAAGAAAGAAATACTCAGGATTAGGGGGAAAAAATACTTTCTCAGGGTATCTAATTGACAACTCAATTGGGTTTTTTTCAGTGGGATACTCTGTGAAAGAGTTTATTTGGGTTGGTCCAAAGGTTTTTGTCCAACACCACTGACATCTCCATTAACCTTATTGAGACCAGGAATTCCCACCTCCTGATTCAGCTGGGGGCCCAAACAGAAACAAACTGCAAATTGATGAAGTTTTGTTCACTGTGAGCAGAAAAGGACTTCAAGGGTCTTGCTTAGTACCAGGAGAGCTGCCCCATGGGACCCCTAAAAACACCATTATCACATCAAGACCTGGCCCAAAGCAGTGCTGCAGTACAAGAAGACAACAAAGAAGATACTCACAGGTTCTCCAGGAAGACCTCTGGGTCCAACTTCTCCATCATCTCCCTGTTCAGCAGCAGAGAAAAGAAGAGAAGCAGCAAGAGACAGAATAAACCAGTTATATTGCAGTCAAATCACAGGTGTTTCTTTCCTGTTAAATAATATTTCACACAGAGAAGCAGATTCCCTGGAGGACTGGAAGGGAATCTGTGCACGAGGAAGACCTTGTAAGCCTGGAGACTAACTCTGTGTGTGCAGAATTTACCAGGGATTAGAAATGCTCTAAGGATACTTCATAATTCATGTTGATGTTCATAAAGATGGATTTTGCTACCAGACAAGATGTTGTAGAAACAATTCAGGGCATGTGAGACAATAACCACGAGATTTAATAAAAAACTGAATGGCAAGGAAGTATGGGAGCAACACCCTGGGAATGTGGTTTAGCCAAATTAGGGTTCCTCAGATAAACCAGGGGCAGCAAAGGGGTGATTCTTTATCCCCTTATTCCCATATCTTGCTGATGTCCCAAGAAAACCCCAAAATTTTTAGATGGTGCTTCCCCTGAGTCATTTTTAACAACCCAAAACCTGAGGCTCCCTCTTAGGAAATCAATCCTAGAGGCCAGGCCTTGTAGACCCTCCTTCTCTGCTGATAAAATTCCTGCTCTTCTTCTCATTTATGCCCTCCATGCTCCCTGCACACCTCATATGGTTTCTTTTTCTCTTTTAGGATTAAAGTTCTCCAGACACTCGTTCTTCCCCCGCAAGACACGGGTTTGCTCTGTTCGACTTCAAAGCACTTTAGAGCCGCAACTAATTAATCCTCCCAACCCTGTGGCGAGGAAGGTGTTATTACCTGAGCTTTACAGAGGAAATAAATAGCCCAAGGTGGAAAGAAAATATCGTGGAAGGGGATTAGAGCCTGGGAAATCCACAGCGGCTCCTCCGGTTAAACCGCACGCTCCTCACACCCCCGGGTTCAGCATTTTCAATCTCTCCCTTTAAACCAGGCTCTCTGGAGCCGAAATCACTTAGTTTGAGCTTTGCTAGAGATCTTTGATTATTGACTGAACAGAGTGGAAAGAGAAGTGAACAATTTAATCTTCTATTCCCGCATCTGCCGGGAATTTCTGCTGCCCGAGTTTTACTACAATTCGCTGGGTCTTAGGAAATCAGACTCGCTACTTTGCTCACATTTTTCTTGGGTTCTCTTTTTTTTTTCCTTTAACAAAACCCGAGCTTTCTGACCAGATCTTTAAAACCAAATTCTCCTTTTTCACTTTACTCCCAACTCCTTGCTGTGCTTCCCCTCCCTCCACAGCCACCAGCAGCATCCCCAGGGCACGAGGACCGAGGTCTCGTGTGCCGGCTGCTCTTGCCACGTCTCTGGCTCATGGTGCATCTGCTTCTTGTTTACAGGGGTTCGTTAGGAATTCAAAGGGCTGCTGAATCCACAGACAGACTTACCCTCTCCCCATCCTCTCCAGGTGCCCCTGGGGGTCCGTGGGGGCCTGGCTCACCCTATAAAGGAAAGGCGGAGAATGCTTCAGAGAAGGCAGAAGCACTTTGGCAACGGAAAACATCAGGGAATGGGGATAAACCAAGTGATGGACTTGATTTCTCTGTCTGCACTTGCTGCAGGCACTTGTACCCTCATAGCTGCTGTCTCTGTGCTCCCTGAAGCAGCAGCTTCTACCCCTCATGGGCTCCATCACCCACAAACTCATCCCCAGGGGCTGCAGCTCATGGGATTTACTGGTGACACTTTGTCAAGGGATTGGGAAGCAAGGATCTCCCTGAGGAGCAGGACTCGTGCTCTGCACACAGTTATTGCTGTGCCCAGGCCATGCCACTCCAGTGCTGGCTGATTAAACATCTCTCCCAGGCATCATCTCCCCTGCCCTGTGTAATTTGTAATCACGATTCAATCTCTGCTGCTCGAACACTCCCTTGCTTTATAAAGCAGTAGCTGTATCTCCAGGGAGGGGAGGGACACGTAGCCTGCCAAAATAACCACCTCCTGGCATTTTTTTTACCCCCTCCATTGTTTAATTACAAAGCAAAGAGATTAAACCCAGTGTAATTTCTGGCAATTTGCATCCCCAACTGCACTGTCTAACAGCAGCTTTTGCCTCCTGTTTTAATTTTTAGTTTGATTTTATTAAGGCATTTTTTCCCCCCCTCCATTCCAATTCTGAGCAATCCCAGAAGGATCCTGCAGCTTCCTGGGAGGGGAATGCTGGGAGGGATGCTGTGACATCCCACATGCTCTTAGGGACATTCATCCTCTCTTAATTAAACCACTGTGGCTCATCCCCAGCAATAGCTGCCCTCCTCCCAGTCTCTCCCAGCCACCTCCTCTTGCCAAGGTTTTATTCCAGCCAGTGCCCTGAAGACAAGTAGAAGAAAACTTACTCTATTTCCCTTCTCACCAGGCAAACCAGCCAAGCCATCAAACCCTCGGTCACCCTGAAAGAAACACCAGTTTAGAGCACATTTCCACCTGCAGTTGAACATCCTTCCAATTTGTTTCTTTTCTGTGTCAAGGAGGGATCGATTTGCTCCCTCAGACGTTCAGCCTTCACCTTGCATCAGACCAGTGACGATTTCAAAGTTATAGATTAAAACAAGAAAAAAACCCAACCATCTCAAAGTCATTTGCAGTTAAACTCCTCCAACACCTACAGTTTAAATGCTCTTCCATGCGGATTTCAGAGTTTCTTTGAGTGACTTCTCCATGATCTAAAACATCTCCCTTCTAGACAGGTTTTTGTAGTCCAAATACTTATTTAGTTTTAATTCTGTGGAATTACAAACTGCATTCCACTGGTGAGCAAACTGGACACTGGTGTTCCCTCACCTACCAACAGGTTCCCAACCACCATCCTGAGCTTTAATGCAATCCATCCCATACCTCCTTTTTAACTCTCCTGGACACTCCAGGGAAAGAAATCTATGTAAATAAATTCTGGAAGTTGTCTTAATGAAACTAGGGCAGGAATGCACAGAGAGCTGTTTCCCAGATGTCCCGAACCTTTGGAGAAGAGAGACAGCACAGGGGTGTTTGCAAATCGTGGGTGACAGAGAGGAAGGCCCCACAGACAGAAAAGTCCCTTTTTCACTGTAAAGGGGTGAAGCCACTTGTATTTTCACACGCTCATGGTATGTGAATTGCTAAAATAGTACCAGCTCCTCCCTTCTAAAAAGGAAAGGAAAGCAAGGGAGGAGAATTCCATCACACCTGGGCAGATGGGAGGGCAGAGTGGGTGGGTCAAGGTTGGCTGGGATGCACTCTGAGTAACCTCCAGCTCCCTTCTTTTTGGCAGGTCCTGGAGCATCTCTCTGCTTCTGCTCACAGCAAATTTCCTTCTCCTTTCCAGCACTGCTCGTTATTCTGTTTCCCTTCTTCCCTGGCATCCCCTCCTCTGAGGGCAGTCGACGCTCATTAAAGCACTTTACTGGATAAATGATTTGCAGTCTCCTGTCTCTGTATCAAAACCCCCCATCTCTTCCAGCCTTAACTATCTACATAATAAAGTACTTAAACCTTCTAAGACATGATTCCCTGAGCAAACTTCCTCTGCATTCAATTTCAGTGCAGCAGCTTCTTCCTTGCTTGGTAATACCAGCAGAATGAAGGGATTTTGTCTCAAAAATACGAGGGGATTAGAATTCCTCACCACACCTCCTGCATTTCCTCCCTCAGTTAATAAGGATGCTTTTGGTAGTTATATTCTAGGATGGTTCCAACCACTCATTCATGTTTGGATTCTGTAATTGGGATTCTGAAGTATTTGTTCTACAACTGCAACATATTTCATTCTGAAGCAAGGGAGCATATTTCATCCTTAAGAGGATCCAGTAATTAAAAAAAAAAAAAGTTGTACTAAAAAAATAGAAAGAAAAAGAAAAAAAATTGCTATTGTGCCTTCTAGGAGTGTGTTTAACTTCCCTCAACTTTCACAACTTCACAGGAGTTTCTGGACCACCAAAAACAACCTCCTCCAAAGCAAGGTGGGCTCCTTCTCCTCAGGCCCCTCAGTTCATTCCTGCTAAAAAGCAGATGCAGATTCCCAAAAGACATAAATGTGTGGTGCTACCTTTGGTCCTGTCTGGCCTGGCATTCCCCGGGCACCGTCGCTGCCAGCTCGGCCCTGCAACAGAGACAAGCGAAGAGTCACACACAAAGGGGAGGTCGTGGCCACAGGGACGTCTGTGCAAAGTGAGGGTTTATTTAAGTTGGATCTCATGGGCTGGGGAGGGAAAAACGCCTGCCCTGTGTTTGGAGCAACATCCAGGCTCAGCCCCGGAGCTAACGGGAGACAAACGGCAGCAAAGCTGCTTCACTGCATGGGATGCTGGGACATGGTCATTGATTTTTATTTGAAATAATTATCTTCCAGCACACTTTAGGATATGGTAATGATGATGTCTGCAAATTGAAATGGGATAATTTCTCCTTTAAGGAAGCCAGAAGTGGGTCACACGAAAGACCTGCTCGGTTTTTCCTCTGGCAAGTTGAATCGTGATGAGGCAGAGGATGGTGCAAAATAAAAATCACCACTGGGGATGTCAACAGAAAGAGGGAGCAGGATTTATACCAACTCCAGAACCCCCTCAGGGGCTGGATCCTCCTCACACTCCACCAGCCTTCAGGACTGTCCAACCACTTCAAGGCATTTATGCAGCTACAACCTCAAAGCTGCAGAGCCAAAAAAACAAAACAAAACACAAAAAAACCCCAAAAAAACCCAAACAGGATAAAAAGAGTGGGACGTGTGGCCTTGCAGTTCTCCCCACACTGCCCAGTTTTTAACTCTCATCCTCATTCTTGTCCGTCCAGATGTCCGGAGAGGTCCTGGACAAGCCCCTGCCTGGCCTCCAGCCGGCTCTTGTGCAACGCTCTGGGCGCTGGGGGATTGTTTGGCAGCAGAAACACTTTCCAGCAGAAATTGTAGCTAATGCAGCCTCGGAGCAGCTGCCAGGACACTCACCCTGCGGCCTGGTTTTCCTGCCGGACCAGGAGGGCCCTGGATGCCTCGTGGACCCTGTAAAGGCATCAAGGAGAGAGGATGAAATGCCATCACCCCAAGGCACGAGGAACAGACCCTGATGAGTGCCCAGATCAGGCACTGCTGGGGCTGTCAGGGCTACCAAGTGGGAGGTGAACCCCTCGAGCAGAGCCTGTAGTTCCAAACACACAGAGAAAGCTCAGGACTGAGCATCTCCGGATGGGAATTGTGGGCGCTTATCCACGAGGAAGCTTTTGCCCTGGAAGCAGCTCCACACAGGGTAGATAAATCACATCCTGCATCAGGAGAAACTGGCAACTTCGCCTTAATGAAGGATTTACAGCTCGGAAGAACAACTTCCTGAGCATTATTGAACTCCCCACACTCCAGCCTATCTTGTATTTACAGGACCCTTCCACAGATGTCTTTGCAGGAAGGCAAAGTCACCTGCAGATTTTTACACTGTTGGCTTAAAATCCTGTCCAGATTCAGACACTTGGAGGGACATTTACATGCAAAATAGATGTTCTCACACCTTCCTACGTTCCACTGGCATTGGATTACTGAATCCCTCCTTTCCAACAGCCTCTAAAGCAGGACTGGCTGCTCCACACCTCTCTTTGTCCCCAGTCACCCCATGTGCCCACACTCACCTGAGGTCCCATTTCTCCAGCCTCTCCCTTTAGTCCTCCACTGCCCGGGGGTCCCTTTGGACAGAGAACACAATCAGATTCGTTTTTCCACAACAGAATCACACCATGTAAAGAAAGAGCCATTCATGGAGGTATCCCAGAGCTCCACCCTCTCCTGTGCCCTCACTTACCATGGGGCCCGGCCGCCCCGTCAGCCCCATCGGCCCCGCTGGTCCCCTCAGCGCCAGCTGCAACACAAAGGGAAAGGGGGCTCAGTTGTGTCTCTGCTTTGTTGCTCCAGTGGGACAAAGCCACCACTGCACCACCAGCCACACGTTCTCTCCGTGCCCCGAGACCACCAATCCTTGGAGCAACGTTTGCATCCCCAGGAAGTGTAACCTGCTGCCCCAACAGCACGTTGGCATCCACAAATGGACAAACAACCCCTCTTTGCCCGGAGAAGCTGTGGCTGCCCCATCCCTGCAAGTGTCCAAGGCCAGGTTGGATGGGACTTGGAACAACCTGGGATAGTGGAAGGTGTCCCTGCCCACCTTCCTGGATGATCCTTAATGTCCCTTCCAACCCAAAGCATTCCATGATTCTATGAAACCCCCTGGCTGGTGCACGAGTCTGCTGAGAGAGGACATAAATATTTATGATCCCACTTCAGTTTAGCAGAATTTTTTCTTTATGGTCCAAACTGAACTACAGTTCTATTTGCAACAGGGGGCTTTTAGCTCAATAATTAAGGAGTCATGTAACCATGTATCAAGTGAATAATTTCCATGGTGGGTAATGGAGCTGGTCCACACTTAAAACATCACTCAGACAATTTGTTCCCTCGTGACAATTCAACACTTTCAAAGAGTTGTAATTATCTGTGTACTCCAGTAATTAAAATCTACCCGTGATTGCACTTGGAATGGCATAAATATTGCACAAATGCTGGATTATGTGACATCTTTTTACAACACCCCATTAAAAGGGAGATGCTCTGAACCACTGCTGGCTGGGATAACGTTTGGTGTCTAATGGAAGCCAAATTTTAAGGGAATAAATCAACCTAATAATGCAATTAACAGCAGTGATAACAAGAAAAACAAACCCAGAAAAGGAAAGAAGGCATCTTCCCCCTTGCAGGAGTCCTTTTCCATTCCTGCCATATCCTGTGGCTTCACCACAAAAAAAATTTGCATTTATTTCCCTTTCTGCTTTGGTATCCAAGTTTTCAGCCAAAAATTTTGAAGTTAACCAAGGAATTAATTTTTTCCTTTATAAAAATAAACAACTTTTCATCCAGAGCTCCAAAGTTACCCAGTGTTTATTTGATTTTTAAATTTTTTTCCCCGAACTTGAAAATTTAAAAAAAAAAGAAAAAGACCTGGAGTGGGAGGAGGGAGCTTTTTTTTTCTCATAAATCACAATTTTCAACAGGCAGGGGAAAAAGAAAAAGAACAAAACCAGAGAGTCTGAGAAAGCAGGTGCTTCTCATGAAACGTTTATCAGGTCAAACTCCCTATTTCCCAGCAAAATAAAATGCTGATGGAAAAACCATAGGCAGGCTTGAAATTAAGACTGACAAGGCAACACCAGAAACATAATCTGCCGATATTATTCTCAGAACAAGGTTAATGGACAGGAAAATGCAGTGACTGGTGGAATCAAGGCCCTGTACTCTACCTGAATAAGTATAAAATCAAACTCCTTTGTAAAAGGGCAGCTGGATGGAATCCAGAATAGCCCCAGCTAAGCCAAATTCCTTGTTATAAACCCAAAAGGAGCAAGTGTCACTCGGCTGGGTGGAGATCCCAATGGATTTTATTGCATTGAAGGGTGAAATAAATTGCTTTTTAGCCCATTTCAGCAGCCCAGCCCCAAAAAGCCTGTGCTGAAGCGACTGCAAAGAGCCCTGAACAACACACGGCACATTCCAGCTGCAGACAGATGTGGGCTTTGGACCTGAGGAGCACATCTCAGCTCTGCCCCCAAATGCAATGTCTCAAAACCATGTCCCTTTGGGAACTGCCTCCTTAAACAGCCAGAATTTGGTTCCTCTTGGGCAAGATCAGGACAAACACAACTTTTTTGTGGCTCTCCCCAGGTGTTCCTTTCTGCTGGAATTGTGCCTCTTGCATCTCTGCTTTTAACGTGGCAACGATCATGTTAAACAATCAAACTTTAAAAAAAGAAACAAAACCAAAAAACCACCACAACCACTCACGGCAGAAAAATTTCTAAGCTGCACTGGCTAAAAATTTTTATTCTGAACAGATGAGCACAAAGCTTTATGCACTAAGTCACTGATCCAGGCAGGGAACAGGAGCTGTACTGGGAATGTGCATGACCAGCTTTTTGTCACCACTAAAGCAGGGATGATTTGATCATCAATCAATAAGGTCATCCATGGAAAGAAACATTGCATGGATAGCCATCATGTGTTTCCAAATAAGTACATTAAAGAAAATTACAAATCTGCCTGCTGAGATTCGTGGGGCTGGGAACAGCTTCCATCCATGGCTTACGTTTAATTATTATGATTTATTGGGAAAAAAAACACAAACCCACACACAGAAGAAAGAAATCTCCTAGAGCACATCCACAACTGTTCATATGGACCCTCAAAACCGTCAGCACAAACAGCACAAACAGCACTGGAGCCAACAGGTCTGGGACCAGCAAAAGGTCTGGTCCAAAGGCTGTAGACAATGTAAAATCATCTTTCTGGGACCTGGACCCTTGCTGGCCATTAATAAAAATCCAAACTGAGGCGTCATCATCTCCAAGGAACACAAGCAATTCCACCCCAGATGAGTTGTTACCACCACCATGAAGGGTGTAAGTATGAAGATGTCTCCTCTGACACATTTATTCTGGTTTTCCTTTGCTTCCACGAGAACCTGCTGCAGGAGACATCCCACCTCCAACCACTTACCCTGGCCTGCTGCAGGATGGCTTGGGCTTGGGCCTCCTGGGCTGAAACGAGAGGTCCTTTGGATCCAGCATCTCCTCCTCCACTAAAGCGGAACTGATGGGGACAAGATGGAGAAAGCAGGTCACCGGGTTGCTGTCCTCCCACCCTCACAGCAGCCTGACTCCCAAACGATTTGGTTCAGCATGACTGACCCAAATCCATCACTGCCTTCCCAGACCATCCCATTAACCCACCACGCTCGGGTCACCCAGCTCAGAGCCACAAACCAGCCGCGCTTCCCACGTCCGCACCCGCACGGCGAGCTCTGCCAGCCCGGAGGGACTCACAATGAGGGGGATTGTGGGCTCTGCACGTGAGGACCTCACACACTACCATTCAGAACTCAGTGCACAGTTCTCACAGGGCTGATATTCCCCTCTGTGGATGCTGTTGGTCAGGAGACCCCAGGCAGACGGGGTTGGATCAGGTTATTTGGCTGTAGCTGCCCGTTTGCCCTGACAAAGGCTGCGTTTCTCAAGCGTGGCAGTTTGCTCCAAAAAACCAGAGTCTGGCCTATTGTTCAAGCCAGGATCCCTCAGCACCCAAAGGATTTAGAAACCCCAGGCATTTATGTTTTATTTCCACACCTGAAAGAGAAGGAGTTTAGTGTTTCCTTCTGCCTCTTCCACCCCCAGAGCCCCACATTCCTGGGCACACACCCTCCTCCTGCCTTAGGTGTGTGCTTGGGGTTTTGCAGGAAGGGTGCTCCTGGCTGCAGAACCCACCTGGATGGTTCTGTAACCTCCATTTCACCTTGGCCTTTCCCCTGGTCGGTGTTAGGTGTGTGACCACACCGACTTGGCAAGGAGATTCAAAGAGATGCAATTTATGGGCCCGTGGTTGGTTCTGGAGGGGCCAACAAATTCACTGTAATGGCCAGCTGAGCTCCACGCCGAGCTCTTGGCCCAGCCTGCTCAGGAACCCTGCCAGGAACTTACCCAAGCCTCACCCAGCCCTTTGGAGCCTGTACAAGTGTGCTGAGGTTTGTCACTAAAAACTCCTTCCCTTCAGGACCCAACCACTTATTTTCAGCAGCTGGATTCCCTCGGGTTGTCTCACATCAAAGCAGACACAAAATATAACCATTCCTTCAGCATCCCAGGACCAAGAAGGCTGATTTGGTACTTACTGGCTTCATGTAGGAGACCAAAACCAATACAAATTTACCACGTGTCATCAAAGAAGACCAGTTTGTTCAGGTGCTTATAATTTTGGCTTTGAAGAAGTGTTTGAGGTTCCTCGCTGTAGGAAGGAGGACTCTGCATGAAAAATTGGCCCTTGGAAGTGTCTTCAGTTACTTCTTCATGTGTTTTTGTCTCCAACACCGTGCCCAGGCAGAAACACTTACGCTTTTTCAGAGTTCAGGAAGTGTTTGGACAATGCTCTCAGGCACATGGTGGGGTTTTTGGGGTGCAGAGCCAGAAGTTGGATCCTTGTGGGTCCCTTCCAACTCAGGATATCCTATGAATTCTATGATTGCTCATCCCTTCTGGAAATTTTAACCTGGTGCTTTTGACCAGTGAAGAAGTTACAGTGCTTTTGCAAAAAGTAAATTTACAAGGAAAGCCATCAGGATCCATCTTTTACCTCAAGGAAAATGTGTCCTGGGTGTGAAAGAGATGGGAGGCTTCTGCAGGAACAGGCATTGAACAGCAACAAAGCCAAGAAACCTGACTCATTTAAATGCTTTTTTTAGTTACGTTTGTACTTACGGGCAACATAAGCATTGTCCCTGGTGGTCCTGGTAAACCATCTGCTCCTGGAAGACCTGGGCGACCAGGTGGTCCCTGCAAGAAGAACAAGTAAAAATAAACTTCTATAGCATCATTTTGATCATGTCCATACATAAGCAGCTGTGGCTATAAAGGGATATGCCATGATATTGTCTTGACACACAGGGATTGAGCTTGTAGACATCCCAATGCCACGGCAAATTTTCTGGAAGTGCATCTGCAAGCCCACACGACTTTTCCTAGTAATTCCCTCTTTTTCCATCCTGGCCCCCACATTTCCAAGCTCTGCCATGTGCAATTTTCGAGTGAGCAATAAAAATCTCTGCAATGCTGCATGTTCATGGAATCAATGTTTAGTTAAAACCTATTAAAAAAAAATAAAATATGAAGCTTCCTAACTCAGGGTCTGTGAGATAGAAATGGAGAAAGATAAATTCATTTCCGTAGTGTTCAGTCATTCTGGGTCATTCCATTTTTCTCTCTTTTGGCTTTTTTCCCCCCTTTTTTTTTTTTAAGTCCTATGAGGCCACTTCCATCTCCAATAGAGTGATCCTGTCAGCAGCTGTAAATCAGCCAAACTCTGTGGATCTCAATGGAGCTGTGCTGATTAACATCAGTCGAGTGTCTTTAACTTGTACTAAAGGAACAAGTGTGCAGTAAAAGATCCATTGATGAAGCTATAAATAATCAAATATGGCCAATTTTCCTAAGGCAGCCCATGGATTATCTGTAGTCCCAACTGTGGACTTGACAGAAAGTTTAAGTTAACCCCAATTTACACACCCACCCAGTGATCCCACATGCAAATGAGGGTGACATCCAACTATTCATACCAGTTTAAGGTATGAGTGACTTGACCACATCCCAGTGAGGCCAAAATAAGCCCTGGTGCTCATTTTGTGGCCAAACAGACAGGACTGCCTGGCCAACAGCTCAAGATTGAGGTGTTGGATACTCCTTTATTTAGTAAATGCCAATAATAAATCCATCCATAGAAAACCAATGCTGTTGGAAGGGCAAGCAACAGATATCTGTGTTAGTTCTCACTTTCTTCAACTTGTCTGAGGCCCTCCAGTGCGTGCAATAGTAAAATAATAGTAATGTAAAACTCTGTCACAAATCACAGACAGAGATGGACATGCTACAGGGTCACATAAAGCCCCACAAAGCAAAGGGAGGTGAATAAAGGTGGGCAAAGGATCAGGGAAAGAGAAATAGGTAACTAAGTCCCTAAAAATCAGAGCATTAAAGAAACCCAAACCACTAAACCAAAACAGTTGGTGTGTTATCTTTGCCCCACTGTCTTCCAGAACGTTCTCTCTGCATTTCTCACCTCTGTGCTCCTCCTTCTCCCATTCCCTCTGTGTTCCACTTCACAATTCCCTTATTGCCTCCCACTTACAAAGGAACCCAAGCCAAGAGTTCCAAGCCCTAAATTAGAGCCCAGCACCAGGGTGGGGGCGAGGAGCTGTGGCTACTCCACCCTGCCCCAGGCAGGACGGGGCTGTGGTGGGGACCTGCACCACAATGACAGGGCAGAGCTGCCCTGCAGACCCGGAGCCCCACGGACCCGGAGCGCGGCTCCGCACCGCAACCAGCTCGGAATAACAACGCCGCTCCCAGCGCCGCTGCAGCAGCCAGAGCTGCAGCCAGTGATTTATCAGGAAAAAAAAAACAACGAAAAAAAAATACAGGAAAAAAACCCAGCAGCTCCCTCAGCAGCGAAGGGAGGCTGCAGAACACACCAGCCCATCCATTTTTCAAGACAAGCTCACGGTGTTGCGTTCGCGCTGTTTACTCAGTCTGGTCGACACCGGAGTCCCTGACCCTGCTGATGAGGTGCAGAGGCCAGTCCCATCTGTTGGAGCAGAAGCCCCATAAATAATTTAGGCCAGACTTGTTTTATATAATAAACTTTCTTTTCTCTCCCTCTTCTCCTTTAACTCCAGTCCTGCATGTGACAGATCAGGAACGAGATTTGTTTATCTCTCCGTGTGTGTACTCTGCCTGACAAATGTTGATGCAATGCTTTTATACCCATAAATGCCTCTTTTTGTTTCAGGTTGGGTGTGGGAGGTCTGTTCCTTGTGGGATGGATCAGCGGGGGGCAAGGGAAACGGAGGAAAATCAAACCCATAAAGCACTTTGTAAATTTAAATTCACGAATGCCTCGAAGAAATGCAGCCTGCCAGGCTCGGGGTGTAAATCTGTGTCGCTCTCGTTATGTAAATAGGGATTTGCTGATATATGGCAGCCAGGGATGGGGACTTCAACTTTCATTTGGTGCAGTGCTCTAAAATGCCACGCTGAGTGCAAACACTGGTGCAATATTTCAAGGGAATGGTTAAACTGAAACCTCAGTGTGTTAGTGCTGGGGCTCCTCGAGTGCTACCCAACAGCCCACAGTGCCGAGCCTCAAAATTCACTGAGTGTCTCTCTCTCTCTCTCTCTCTCTCTCTGATTATTTTTGTGCCATTTTCAGCCCTGGTCAGAAAATTATGTAAGAGAAGAATCTTTCTTGCAGATTTTGGTTTCTGCTAGGTAAGGCAGCACTTGCCATCTGATGGGAGAAACAGCACCCTGAAAATATCAAGCCTTGCAGAAGCCCAATAAGGATTTCAGGGATCCTATTGCACTTCTGAGGTACAAAACTGTCCCCAGGGGAATAAGTCCTTTGGGACTCAATGGCTGCATGGTCTTGGAAGATACAGCTATTGCTTTGTGATCAGCCTTCCCTCAGGGTTGGAACTCCCCAGAATTCCAAACACACCATGGGGAGAGCGATGGAGCTGCATTTTGCTCTGATGCTGCAGCTCATCTTGTTCAAAACAGCACATTTTCCCAGTTGATTCATTCCAGTCTGGAGTACCCATGAAATAACTCTTTGGTCTCCTAAGTGCCATATTTCCTTCTTCCCACCGCTCAAAGAAACCTGCCTAAGTCATCCCAAACCGCCCTCCCCTCAGCTGAGCCCTCTGAAACCTCCCACAAACAGGCTGCTCCACAGCTTTGCCATTGACACAAGTTCCTCTGCATGTTGTAAAATAACTGGGAAAAATGAACGAGCTGACATGATGAATAAACCAGAGCTAAATGAGTGTTGGCCAATATTAACATAGCTGAATATTGTTGGTACATTAATTCAGTGCACCTGCCTGATTGCAAATAAAAAGCCTTTCTATCAGATGCAGGCAGAGGGACTGTTCCTCCCAGTACACAGGGAAGTCATGTAAATTCATGAGCCACGCGCAGGGTTAATAATAAACAAATTAAAAGTGGAGCTGCTCTAATTGAAAAGGAGTATTTTAATACAGTTGCAGTTCCTGGCTCTGCAAGTTCATCACTCCTCTGTGCACAGTATGTTGTATTACACTCTGTTCTGGACACTTGGAAAAGCAGGATGTGCTGCCTGTGCTAGAATGCAAATTATTCCTTTCATTTTAGGGTGTGGAGCAGCATCGTCAGGGACAGTGTGTCTGCTGCTGGTTGGCTTTGCAGGGCTGTTCAAGAGGAGCTTGGCCAGCAAATGTCTGCATCTGCCTGGACAAATGACAGAAACACACTCCCTTGTCACCAGGGGCAGCATCCAGCCTGCCAGGAATGCAGGAGTAGACACAGCACATCCAAGGGAGGAGAAGAGGAAGCTGGGCATCACACAGGAACCCAAGCAGGATGAAGACCTCCCAAGAATCTGATGAAGCCACGCAGCTCTTCTGACTAACCCTTGACTACTGCAAGATGCAAAACACACCCATCCTCTGGGAAGCCAACCCCAAGGCTGCAGAGCCTGCCCTAGCTCCTTCAGGAGGGTCCAGAGCTGCAGTGCCACAAGGGTTAAGCCCAGCTCTCCACGAGCAGTGGCACTGGCTCACAGCCCTGGGCTGAGCCCGCAGCCTGTATCGACTTTCTGAGCTCGCAGGCACTGATCGATGGAGCACAGTCAGGGCCCCTCGTTCTCAGTCGTGTCACAACCACCAGAAACGTTATTACTGCTCCATCAAAAAACACAATAAATACACCAGGAGTGTAAATGAGGTGAGGGTCTCTCCAGCAGTGCTCTGGGGGGGGGGGGAAAGTGGGAATGCAGCAGCCAGCAGGCTCCGGCCAATCCCCCCAGGACCAAGAAGGCAACAAAGAACCTCTGCTAAAAAAAAAAAAATCCTGTGCCCAGGTTAGGGATATTGTCACAGGAATGCCTGAACAGCTGAGGAATCTCCTCAAGTGCACCTTAAAACTGCTGCATTCACTTCCCAGTGCAGGTCAGCAATGATTTTAATTCTCCCAGTGGTTGCATTTTGCAACGTGGGTACATCAGAAAGAAAAGGAAACACAGAAACGGCCACCGCAGAGGAAACCATGGCAGAACTCTGGCATCACTGCAACAGTTAAAACAAGGCTAAGGGGAGGTACTTGGGGGCACAGAGATCTTGTTCTGATCTTCTGTAATTAAAGGAATTCTCCCCCTTCTTCTTTCTGGCTCTCAACTGAGACCAAACAAAAGGAATGTTAAAGAAAAAAAAAAATATGATCAAGGCCATGACACAAACACTTAAAGCATTTGCAGCAATTAAATGTGTGAGACACATATCAGAACAGTAAAACTCCCTTATCCAGCCAGAGCTTCCCGTTGTCTTTTCCTACCTTGTCCAAGCGAATGAATTTGCCAGGAAAGTAGGAAGCCCTACATAGGCAGAGAGTCTGCATCTGTTCCCACCTCAGCCTCTCTGCAAGGCCAGATCCTGGCTGTGCCATGGTGAATTTTCCACTAGATGCCAGGCCAAAATTCCTGTTGGGAGGAGGCCTGGGGGCAGTGGGCAGCCTGCTGCACATCTGCCCAGGTGTGCTCACCTGGCTGCCTCTGCCAGGGAGGAGGAACAGGCTTGAGCTGCAGGTGAATAAAAGCAAGTGAGGAGTGTCTTGGTAACTGGGTCATTCCAGGGACTGAGCTCAGGGCACGAGGACAGTGGGTTTTAATTTTTGGCATTGCCAAGCACTGGAATTGCTGCTGGAATGGCGCTCATGCACCGCTCACTGACCTGAGGCTTGAGTTCAGCAGCTCCCAAAACACAGGTCATCAACTCCTGATCCCAGGTGGGGACTCAGCAATAACAAATAAATATACAGCTCTGACTGAAGCGAGGTGTTAAATTATGGGATTTGGGTCACAATCCACAAAAGCACTTGGGAGCAGCTGCCTTTGATGAGACATCCTGAAGCCAGAGGCTTCTGCAACAGCAGTTTACAAAGCAGTGGCTGCCAGGGACAAAACTGATTTACAGTAACATCAAAACCTAAGTTATTGCATTGCTAAAGCACATAAATCAGTCTCTAGTGCTGCTGGTACAGACCAATAATCCACGTACAGCAAAGGTGAAGTGCTGCACAAAGAGCCCCTTTCCCACTGGGAGCAGCCTGGGACACAAAAGGAATGTAAGGAAAGACCCACAGCAGTGGGGTTGGTGTGACCCCAGGACCATCCTGGTCCCAACCAAACCCAAACCCTCTGGCAGGACTCACAGCACCAGCTGCAGTGAGGATGCAGAAGAGTAGCTGAACTTCATTTTACTGTGTTAGTAATTTTGGTGTTTGCTCATCCTGTTTTCCCAGTGCCACAGCCCAGCTCCTGCACTGGAAGGAGCACAGAGAACAGAGGGTTTTCAGCCCAAACTATTGGTTTTAACTTGGAAAATGGCTTAATATATTTGATTAACATGGCTGTTTCCCAACCTTTTACCCCAAAGGTCAGCACTGTACCCCATCATATGCTCCTTTGGGTGCTGACTCAGAGGAAAGTGCCATTACAGGATGAGCAGGATTTTAGGGCTCCAGGGACACACCACAGTCCCACTGTGCGCACATAAACCCACCCAAAGCCTCAGCAAAGAGGAGAAAAACATGAATACTCACCCTCTCCCCTGGGTCACCCATTAAGCCCACGGGTCCAGTTGGTCCTGGAGGTCCTGGAAGGCCCTAGCATGGGAAAAGACAGGAAAAAAATAAGCCACTAAAATGCATTATTATTTGTAGCAGATTTATACAATGAGCAGGAAAAGATTTAGAGCCTTCTGTTTATTTTTGCACCAGAAAATCCACCCCAAAGCACTCTGTGCACATGTGTGGCATATGGAAGCAATAGAGCCCAGGGACAGCCGAGTGCCAAGCCCTCCACGTGCATCCCAAAATCCAGAGCAAGGGGAAAAGTGCCACTTACTGCTGGGCCTTCAGGACCAGGTGGGCCTTCCACCAGCATACCCTGAGCAAGAGGAAAAAAAAAAAAAGTGATTAGCAAGGCACATCCCCCAGGTCACTTTGATTCCAGGGCTTTATTTAAGTCCTGTGCCTAAATATTTCAGGTCTTGCTGCTACACAGAGGCACCCCGAGATGAAGGGTTTCCACCCTCTTGGATGAAAATCTCCTGTGTCCCTGCTGCCAAAGGCACAGAAGGCCCACTGAAGAGCCAAATAATGTCTGTTTAAATCACTGAGGGTATGGCAAACAGCCCTTGACCCCGGCATCAGGCCCACCCTCAGCCCAGCAAGGGTCACCTTCCTAAACACAACCCTTCTCTCTTTGCCCACGGTCAGGCAAAAGGCAAACCCTGGAGCACAACCAGCCTTGGTGGTGCTGGAGCTTCAGGAAAAAAAAAGCTGTTTCCAGGCCCAAAGAGCTTGAAAAGAAGTTAGCAATCAAATTGCAAGACGTCTTTCAAAATTATTTTTTTTTTCCAGCAGACTGCACACTCTGATTTACTCGGTGCATGTAGGAAATCACTGTGTGGGCAGAATGGTAAAATAATGCCTCTCCATCCTTTTTAATCTAAATATTTTGTCATAACTTTATATCAGATCTATCATGTACTCAGTAGAACTGAGGTGGTTTTTCTTTTCTTTTTTTTTTTTTTCCTTATGAGTATGTAAGAGGTGAAAAAGAAACCTCCCAAAAAATCTGGCAAATGTTTTCCAGATAGGCATCAGGATGATGTGTTGGGAAGAGCTCCACAGAGAGCACTGCCCCTTTTATCTCTGGGGTCCAGCAACAGCCAGGTCAAGCCAGAGCAGTCCCAGCACTTCCCATCTCACCAGGGACATTTCTCCTATGGGATGAAACCCATCTTTAAAAATCTGTAGATTAGCAGTTGGCTTACGTGGGTGAAGCCTAGAGAAAGCAAGTGCAGGGACTGGTCTTGGGACACCCTTAACTGTTCTCAGGCTCTGGTGCCAAAAGCCTTGGCTGACCCAGCGCAGCCACTCCAGCAGACAGGGCTGAGCTGAATGAATCTGAAGTGTCTAGAGGAAAATCCAGGCATTCCTGCCCCAAAAGCCACAGTCTCTAAGCCCAGAGGAGCAAAAAATAGCATAAAACACGCTGTTATGGACCATCCCTGCTTCCATCAGTAGGATACACGTGTCTGCACCACTAATGCATGGCCAGCACTATTTGCTGCCTTTCCCAGCGTCCACACTACTCGTTACCACCTCGTTTAAAATCTCATTTAAAGTCTGGCTTCCCCCTCAGTTGGATGTGTGAGGGGAAATTTGCTGCTGCTGCCACCACAGAGGTGCCTCTGCAGTTGTTCTTCACCAGGAAAGAATTTAGGTTTCACCCTGTGCCCATGTTTTGACAGTCTCCATGTTGGCCATGGAGACACTGCTCTCCCCTGGGTGGGAATTAGGGATGAATTCCACCTCCCCTTCCTCTAGCATGCCTTGAGTATGAGCTATTGCTGTTGGAGACTTCAAAGGAGAGGTGAATTCTGTTGATGGAGAAAGTGTCCCCCAGAACACCCACTAAGCACTCATTCCTTCTTGGTCACACAGTGAAGGACATTGCAGGGAACCCCCAAAATACATCCCTGTTGAGACTTTTGTGTTGTGTGTGACAGGTTCTAAACCAAAAACTAATCAGTGGCTGGGCTGGGACAGAGAATCACAGCCCACACAGGACTCCCCAGGAGATTTTGGGGCTGCTGGGTGCCAGCATTACCCTGGCCTGAGCACACAGGAGCACTGAGGTTCTGCTTCCCACGGCCACCTCGGAGTCTGGGGACACTCCTCCACATGGGCAAGAGTCAAGGCTAATTAGCTGATTTGGGATGCAAACATCCTTGGCATCTTCCCATACTTATCTGTTGGTTTATTTTGAGCTCCAGCCTTAGGGACATCTGGAGATTCTCCTTGGCAAGAAACCTCCACTGTTTACATGATTTCTCATCAATAGGAGCGATGGAAACGTGGGAGGGTTTGGGGACAGGACCCTTGGGGGAGATGCCACCGAGGGCAATCACCTTGGGGAGAGCAGGCAAACCATGGATTTGGGACTGTCCCGGGGGAAAACAGGGTGTTGCTTCCACTCAATCAACACAAGTGAAGCCACTATCACAGAAGCAGCCCAAAGTCTGCCTCCAACACATAGAGGGGCTGCACAAAGGCTGAGCAAACCCTCCCCAAAAGTAGATGTGAGCACCAGGTTCCCCCCAAAAGGGACAGAGGGCTCTGAGGAGGCGGCAGCAGCACCCTGATGGCTCCAGATCTGGGATGTTTGGGGTCCCTGCATCCCTCCTCTCCATCCCTCCTCTCCCTGCCCCTGTCCTGCCCTGCTGCCTCCAGCAAGTGTCAGCACAGAGCAAGGATTGAAGGACAGGCGGTTTGAACGAGAGAAAATCCAGCAGAATCCAACTTTGCGTTTGGTTTTTATTTCCCTTCTCCTACAGCTCCCACAAAAAAAAAAAAAAAAAAAAAAAAAAAAAAAAAAAAAAAAAAAAAAAAAAAAAAAAAAAAAAAAAAAAAAAAAAAAAAAAAAAAAAAAAAAAAAAAAAAAAAAAAAAAAAAAAAAAAAAAAAATTAAATAATATTAAAAAAAAGGAGCTAAAAAGCGCAGCAAATCCGAATTTTCCTGCTAAAGAGGAGCCGCACGGAGAGGGACCGGGCGGCATTTGGTCTTGTTTACTTTCTGGCAAAAGCTGTACATGCTCCAGTGTTTGGAAATCGTGCAGGCGGCCAAATTCTTTCTGGATGATTAAACTTAACTATTTTGTTCGCTTTGTAGCGTTTCGGGCTGGGCTCCTGCCATCGCCTTCGCGGGGTTTGGCTGCTCCCCCCTCCCCTCTCCCCAACCCTCCGATAAGGAAATCGCTCGCTCTTCCTTTTGTTTGCAGAGTGGGAACGAGAACCAGAAAGGAAGAGAAGGAAGGAGAGGTCGGGAATGCTTTTATAAGGAACTGAGGCCTTTCAAGCCCCGCTGCTGCACCCCAGCTTCTCCCTGGCTCCCCTCCCCTGCTACCTGCAAAAGTTTCAGGCAGAGGAGGAAAGGAAGGAAGAACTAAAAGAAAAACAGTGGCCTCGGGGTGATGGGAAGTGCTGCTGCAAGGCTGGCCCTCTGCCAAGGAAAATTAGGTTAATTGAGCTGGTGGTGAGCAGCGAGCGTGTGCTCAGCCTTCCTGGGACCTGCTCAGGGGAGGTGGGTGCGAGGACCTGAAGTTCCATTTCCAGCCTGGGGAGGAGCAGGAATGGGGGTACCTGGGCATCCTGACACCCACAGAGAGGGACAGACAGACAGGCATCAACAACAGCCTCTTGCTCTGCTCAGCAGGAGCCTCTGAGCAAGCCCCAGCCATTCCCATCGTGGGGCAGCAGCTCCATCCCCACCTCGGGGGTGCTCAGTTGGGCACCCACATTTTCTGCAGAATGCAGAGGGCACAGGCAGATTATAACCATTATTTAAAAAGAAAAACAACCTCAGAAACAGCCCAGGGCACAACAACAACAAAAAAGAGTGTGCTGGGTTCCGCTCCTGGGGCGACACAGGGTTTCTCTGCAAGCGGAATCCGGTGGGACCCTGGGGCTGGTGCAGGAGCAAACCTCTCCTTTCCACAGCTGTGTGCAGGGAGAACCCTTTTATTTCCAGAGGGATGAACCCATTAGTTGCACAATTAAAGCCAACCCCAGGCTGCAAGTTCAGGTCAGGATAGGACCTGGCCACCGGCTGAGGGTGCTCGGGGGAGCAGGTTTGCTGTGGAGCCAGGGGCACTTCCAGCCCTCTGGAGGGGTGAGATGTGTCCCCTGCCTGATGCTCCAGCTTTTATTTTGCTAAATGAGAGATTTCACAGGAAATTTTGCCCTTCCTTCATAATTTAGGTCACTTCTTGAAGTATTTTTTTTAAAAATTAAAATATGTAATTACAGTATTTTCCATTTAAAGTTTTCAAATGGACCAAGTAATTCTTTCATGGGAAGTTTTCCTCCCTCCCAGCTGTACCACTGAGACAATACTGAACCACGAAGACACACTGAACAAACCCTCTGTGCCTTTTTTTTTTTCCAGGAGAAAAACAGCAAAACCCCAAAACCAAGATGGTCCTTACCGGCTCAATAATGGCAGGTTCCCCCTTCTGTCCCTTCTCACCCCGCGGGCCCCCGATCTGCAGCACACAAGGGAAACACAAAAGTCAGAGAGGAGGACACAGCCTTCATCAGCAGCCTCCCCAGCCTGAGCAGGAATTGGAGCTGGAGGTCCTGGGAGAGCTGCAACCCAAGGAACTGCCGAAATTCCTGCTGGAAAGACACGAGGCAGCTCCTCCTTGCCCCGGCGCAGGTGGGTGAATCCAAGCGAGAAGATGCTCCCACGCTGGTTTTTGTGTTGCTAATTACGCCCTAAATTATGGAAAGGCAAACTCTGTGAACTAGTCTTCTCCTCGATGGAGAATGAACCCTCTTACCCCTTCGTAGATGGTGTCCTGGTTCGCAGGCATCCCGGGGCCGATGTCGGGAGAGGCCGTCCGGTCGTAATAGTTGTAATAATTCCCATCATACTCTTTTATTGTTTCCTCAGTGAAATCTTTATCCAGGTCATCTCCTCCTTGAGCAGCCTGGAAGGGAACGAGCAGCAACGTGTCAGACTGTTGGTTGCACAGGCTGGAATATTATTAATATTAATAATATTATTAATATTATGTTAAGGGGTGTGGTTTGTGCAAAGTTAGAGGTGTTTTATAATAATAGTTACATGTAAAAAATCTGGGGAAAGGTTAAATTCTGGAGTTTTAAGTTCTCCAGTGACCTCCAAGGGTCTTCTCCAGTGTCAGGCAAGAAGCACAGGAGAATCTTTATGTCAAAGGCACACCCTGGCTTGCCCTGGGATTTCTTCGTTGATCCCTGATAAAACACTGTGAATATAAAAGCTTGAATGAGGAAAACAAAACTCATCTCGCATCAGGAGGATCCAGCAAACTCTGAGTTGCCTAAAGAAAGAGAGAATGGAAGTTCCAACTCCAAGTCCTCCTCATCTCTCACGGCCTCAGCATCTGAGACCCTGGATTATCAAGCACAAGAAGTCACACATCCGTTCCCATATTTAAAATGCACATCAAAACCACAATGTGTCACTGTGAGTATCCAATTACAGGAGGAAATGTGGAAAAATCCGAGTTCGCTTCTATGAAAACCTCCTGTTTGTTTAGTCTGGGATCCAGTTTGCAACTGTTCTTGTCCAAAGAGCAGCAGAAGAAACTTTTTACAGAGCTGATGCCTTAATCCCTGAATCCCTCCTGAATCCTTACAGCAACAGATGCTGTGGGCCACAAGCAAGGACATCTAGACAAGTATCAGAATTTCCTTGCTCCTCTCCATATCCCTGTGCTTCCAGCAGCCTGGCAGGCACAGTCCCTTGGCATCCTTTACTTGAAGCTGCACTGCAAAGAACAACATGTGCTGCTGATATTTATTTTCTTTCTTTCCTATCCAGGTAATGACCAAAATAGTCCATAAATTGAATTATTTCCAGCGCTTCCTGGAGAAATTATCTCCTCAGTACTATGAATTCAGAATCATTTAAATGCCATCACCACTTCCAGACCTTGTTTCTGTGCCAAAACTGCTCAGAACCCATAAACACGAGCATCTGGATCTAAATTCAAGAGGTTTTAAATTAAGAATAAGCCCAGAGCTAAGGCAATCATCACCCCACCTTCTTTTACCTCTGCAAATACCAACTGGCCTTGGCAGAAATTGTAGTTTGGCAATTATTCAATTAGAAAACTTGGACAAGTCAGCATTATTTTTCCTTTGTGCTGTTCAAATGGATCTAGTGCTATCACACGTGCCTTTTGCCCTGTTTGAAATATTTTTCCTACTTTTGCACTTTGAAACCTTAAAACCTGTTTATCTGGCTATAAAGGTTTGGGGATAACACAGCAAACTGCATGTCTTGAAATGAATATCAAAAATGTCTGGTTTGATATTTTAATTAAGGTCCATGAGTCTATTTGCATGGAAAGATGATATTATGAATAACTGGGCAGAGAGGGAGGAAAGTTCTCCACGCTGAGACTTGCAGGTGCTTTAGAGAAAAACCAAACCAAAAATAATCTCCTCAACAATGTTGTTCTACAATGTGGATGGGGAAACAGTCAAGAGGGAACAGAGGAGGCCCAAAAATCAATGTGTGAGTACTGAGACACTCCTTGGGTGGCAACAGCTTCAGTTAATCCACTTTTAGTTCTCCCTTTGAGAAGCAATATGTCCATGTGAAATGCTGGTATCACACCTGGACAAGGAAAACAAACTGCCTGAAGAACAGCAGGCCATGAACAAAATCTACCTGTCCCCTGCTCCTTCTGCTCAGGGGGGTATTGCTGCCTCCTAAATCCTGGAATTGCTTTCCTGGCACTTATCAGGGTGTTATCAGACAGAATGAAACCCAGGCGAGCCAGTGACTCCTCCTGCCTCCCAAGCTCTCACAGAGGTTTTTGTAGAACTAAATCCCCTTTTAATTCCTGTTGTAGGAATCAGCGTCTTCCCAAAATTCAGTAGTGACAGGCACGACCTGACCTTGACCATTCTGCACCAGATCAGTATTATCCTCTTTGATCCCAGGACCAAAACTGAGCAGTGCCATGGCTGGCACTGTAGGGAATGACCAGACTCCCAGCCCACCTCTGCATCCCTGTGCAGCAGTCCAGGGTCTCCAAACTGCTGGAAGAAACCTGGGACAGCTTGAAATTATGCCACACTTACTCATGACCATGAGCACTATTTGGTTGCCTAAACTATCTAAAAAAAATAGGAGTTTTGTATGTAATTATTTTGAAGAGCACATAAATTTCTCTATCCACTCTAGCAGGCTGTACTCCTGCTGGAGCCCTGTTCCTAATAACAGGTATTAGGAAGGGAATTACATGTACAATCCTAATCCTCACTTCCCTGTCACTCACAAAGCAGTTCGATTTTCTGCTGGACTCAAGGATTTGGTTTCCCCAGGAGTTTGTGGTTGCAGACAGGACCCTTAGCTCCTACTCCAAGGTGTAAACCTGGAATCCACATCTTCTTGGGTATCTGTCCCTCAGGCTGGCACTTTTTGGGAGTCATCCCTATGTCATGCCATGTTAGCCTTCGCCTCAGTGCACAGGAATCTCCTTCAGCGGGGCAAGTTGTGTCCTTTTCTCTGCTCTTCAGCTAAAAGATCCACTGGAGCAATATCCCACCCAGGAGCATTCCTACAGCCCTTCCCATCCGAACACCACCTCCCTTGGAGCTGCCAGAGGCAGCCAGATGCTTTGCCAAGACCTGGTTGAGCTTTCCCATCAGAAAGCCACACCACATGTTTCCCTACCTGAACTTTCCTCCTCTTCTATTTCCTTTTCCTAACAAGTAAAGTGGCCCTTGAGCCTCTTACTTCCTCTTCCATTTTTTTGTTGGCTTTGTTTTTGTTTGGTTTTTTTTAAGGTCACACTATCCAATCTTTAACTCCCCTCTATTAGAAAGTTCAATCTTGGCCAAAGATTTCTGGCTCTTTGTCAGGAAACAGAAAACTTTCCCATCCCTGGGCTCCCTCAGGTTGGCGCTCGCTCCCTCGATACGCTGGAGCCTCTTCTGTTTCCCTCTGTGTATCTTTTTTAGCTGCTCAGCCTCGTCCTCCAGCACATTTTTCAGCCCCAGTTGGCTGGAGTGGATCCCCCCACGCCCCAGCCCTCGGGGTGGTTGGATCCACGCCCGCCTCGCTCCAGCTGCTCCACTCTTTGCTTGGACGCTTTCCCCGACACCTTTTCATTCAAACTTCCAGCTCCAGCTCCAAGTGTCTTGGCCAGTTTTTGCCGTCTCTTTTGCCACCTTCCAGCAGCTCTTGGAAAACCTGGAATTTTGACATCCCCTTAAACCAAGTAATTCTTCTCCACTTGAGAAATCGCCACCCAACTCTTCCTGGGGGGTAGGATGGGACTTGGCAACATTATGGAATGGTGTAGGTTGGAAGGGACCTTAAAGATCATCCAGTTTAAACTCCAACACCTTTCCACCAGAACAGGTTGCTCAGAGCCCCATCCAGCCTTGCCTTGAACGTTATCCCACTGGGAATTCTCTTTGCTAATACTCCAGGATAATGAAGAATTTGCCTCATTTAGTGCCATTATTTCCTTGCACAGCAAATTCTACAGCTCTGCAGCTCCCCAGCAATTTATCTCCATCCCATCTAAGGCTCAGACCAACATTCACCTATTTGAGCATCCATATAAAAGTCAAGAACTGGGCAAGTCTCAGGGATAAGAGAGTCTCAAGTGCAACATATTTCAGTTGAAGCATATTAAAATTTGGGTAGATAAAAGTGTAAATGCTCCAACAGAAACGTCAGCTGTGGGATCTGGACTGATCTCATCTCTGAGCTGATCAGTGCAGAGAACAGAGGGGCTCGTTCTGGGTGAATGCAGTTGTTTGAAATCACTGGGGTTTTTTTCCCAGTGTTGAAATGCTGGGGTTTTTTTAAGTAACAAACTGAAAAACAAAGATGCTATTCAGTAGGGCTGACAAAATGAAAAATGTTGATGTTCTCCATCAAATCAACATTTTAAGGATTTATATTAATAACTTCGAAGTAAAATGCTTTTAGTTAGATTTTAACATCAGCCCTCATTTCTCTTTTTGTCAGAAAACCACTTCACACAAGGAAATGCAGATGTCAACATGAACAGATTTTTCCAGGGGAACAATCCTTAACTCTAAGTGTCTGCTTTTCCCACCCTGAAATATCTGGAGTGAAAATATTTTACAAGGAACTTCCCCTTCCAGCAGCTGCCTAAAGCCCTCACGGGTTTACCATCTGGGTGCTTGCATCTCCTTTGCTTTCAGGGCTAAGAAACAGCAGAAATAGCAAACAAAATGCGTTAAAATTACATCGGTCTCATTGTAGGTGATGACGGTGCTGGTGGGGAGCTCGGCCTCCACAGCGTTTTCAGTGAGGCCACCCTGGGGATCTACTTCCTCGTTGTAGTTGATGTCTTCATAGGGCATGGGTGTGAAGTACTCCTCGTTGATGGTTTCATAGTTGTACTCATCAACAAGGGGATCATCCACTGTCCCGTCCTCCTTCGGGGGCTTCCCAGGGTTCCCTCTCTCCGGTGGTGCTGTGGGAGGAGGATAATCCTGTGGCAGAAATAAAACACTGGAATCAGAGAAACAACAAAAAAAAGAAGAAGATTCTGCATCATCCTCCACCTCCCCTTGTATAAAGATGCTGTTTATCAACCTCATCGTTGCCAGGACCCCTCATTGGTACCTCCTTGGTTTCAGGTCTCTCTCCAGCAGCCACTTCAGGAGGGCCAGGTTTGGTGGTGGGGGCTTCTGGTTTTACAGAGTCATCAACATCTTCATAGTAGGGGTACTCGTAGTAGTAGGTGTCACCTTCTCCCTCCCCGTCCGTGTACTGCAGGGAGGAGATGAGAAGCAGAAAATGAGCACCTCAGCCTGTTCCTGTCAGCTCCTTTAGACATCATGGCATCAAACTGACAGGGTTTGGTGAGATATTAGGGAGAAATTCTTCCCTGGGAGGGTGGTGAGGCCCTGGCACAGGTTGCCCAGAGAAGCTGTGCCTGCTGCATCCCTGGCAGTGTTTAAGACCATGTTTTATGAGGTTTGGAGCAACCTGGTCCAGTTGAAGGTGCCCCTGCCCGTGGCAGGGGGTTGGAACTAGATGGGCTTTAAGGTCCTCCAAACCAGTGATTCTATGATTTTTTTTTTTTTTTTTTTTTTTTTTTTAAACCTCAGATTGCTGAGACCTCCCAGGTCACCCATCTGACATCCTGAGGGAGGGGAAGGAAGCACCTGAAGCCGCTCTGGGAAGCGGCAAAGCTGCTTCCACTCATCCGACTGCACTAAACAACATCCGTGTCACTTCCCATCCACCCACAGCCCGCAGGCAGAAGGGCTTTGGAAGCCAAAAATATATTTTCAGTGTGTTCCACAAGGCGTCAGTCATTCTTCAAAATGAAATCCAAACAAACCAGCTGGTTACAGCCGGGCATGGCGAATCTCTTCGCCAGCCCAACGCTCTCGCTGGCAGCCGGCGGCGGCGCGTGGAAGAGTTATTCTTACATGGAGCAACACAGCCCCAAGACAAGCCAGCTCTTGTTGAACTGCTGGCTCCAAGAGGAGAGTTTTATTTTCCTACCACCACGTATATTTCAACCGTACCAAAGTCTGTTCTATTTTTCTTATTTATTGTTTCTCCAGAAGCGCTGGTGGAGCGGTTGCAGCACTTCAGCGGGGCTGGGCGGCTGTGCCTCGCCACGAGCACAGCACTGCTCCCCAAACCCATTCCTAGGTGCAGGATTAATTCAGTCTCAAAGATAAACTGAGAGAGCTGAGGGCATTACAGCTTTGTGGGGGTTCAGCAGGAACCCGCAGGTCTGAGATCAGCTGAAAGCAAATCAGACCAAGAGAGTTGTTGAGAAGTGGTTGAGGACATCACGCACCAACTGCTGGGAGCTGAGCCTGAGACCTCCCAAACAAGGACAAAATTCAGGTGATGCTCTTCTGGAAATCAGCCACACCCAGACATTTTTTAATTGGGCAGCAAAAATTAAAGTGTATCCTGCATCAGTTTTTTTTTTTAATTTGCTTTCTTTTTTTTAAGAAAAGACCTGAGGCTAATTCTTCATAGAACAAACTATTGAGCCCAGCAGCTTACAGGGATGAATCAGGAGCATTTCTGCCAAAATGAAATTCAAATGACAAATCCATGGGCAAAAATATTTCCCTCTCCTTTTAACACTTGTTGTTTCAAAGAGTTTTGAAAAAGAACTGTTTAATCCATTTACGAGTTCAACAGTAAAATTCGAAATTTAGAAACAGGTGCCTGTTCTGGACAGGACTCGACCAGCCAGGGAAGGTCAATGTTTCACACTCGACTCACATTGTCTCTCCTGCAAATTTTTGAGCTCCAAGTGAATGCTCATTACAGTCTCTGGAAATGGGAGGAGTGCAGAAGGAAGGGAAAACTCCCAAAGGCAAGAGCCAAGAGCAGAACCCACAAATCCTAAAAACAAGCTCTGTCCTGGATGTTAAGAGAGGAGTCGCAGGGAAGCTGAGCTTAAGGAGGAAGCTGAGCGTCTTTGGGACCACAACATGGAACCAGATGCTGCTGCCCCCAAAAAAAACATCCCCAGACCTGTGAGACACTTACATATTCATCCTGGTTGGGGTCCTGGGACTGGGGGGAGTCAGGGATGGCGGTGTCACAGTCGGGGCTGTAGTGTTCACAGTAATCCAGGGCCGCTCGGGGGTCTGCCACGATCAGGAGCTGCTGGATGTCACCCTGCAGGGAAGGGAGGGCAGAGGGTCAGGGAATGGATAGTGCACATGGAGCCACCAGCACGATGCTACAGTCACAGGCATGAGCAACACCAAGAAATCAAAAGCAAAACACTTGGCAGAGTCACCCCCCTGACATGGGCACATCCCCTGAGGTGAGCCAGGCGAAAACCCTCCGTGTTCAGGGCTGGGTTAAGAAGCCACTTATCTCTGGTTTAAGAAGCCACTTATCTCTGGCTGCTCCATGAGGTGTGAAGCTGCTGTGCTTCATCCCTGGTCCCAAATGCACCTCCCCAAAAGATAAGCACATCTTCAGAGGGGTCACCCTCATGCCTTACAGCATGACAGCATCCCCAGCCCCTGGTAAGGTGGGTTCGGGGGAAAAAGAAAAGGGCTCTACACGCCCCAAATCAGCCAGGGGCAATAAAATACAAGTCCTTTACACCTGATCCTGTGCAGGTGGAGTCCTACAGGACTCCAGAGTTTCCCTGTCCTGTCCAAAAGGCTGTTTATCAGCCTCAAAACATCTCTGCTTGTCCCACACCACCAGTTGGTCTCACAAAAGACATCACCCCCCCCCACTTCTACATCTTGCCTCACCTTGATTTTCCACCCGCAACAGTGTGGCAGAAAGAGATAAGAAATGCATCTGATAATCCAAGAAAAGAGCCAAGAGGGAGGGGGGTTGCAGTGGCTTATTAAAAAACAGGTGCAGAGGGAGCTCATTAGACACTGAGGCTGGTTAATGGGGCACTCGCTGCAGACAGAACGAAGCTCCAGCTACAGCCTGAAGGTCAGAGCAGAAATTGCTCTGTATTTTCCTGAAGAGCCACCACACTGCTTAACCATAACACCAAAACCCAGTTTATTCAGACAGTTACATAAGACTTTACTGTTTGGATGGTTAGAGTTGATATTTAATTAGGGGGAGAAAAATTTCTTGTTTAATAATAGAAAAACGTGGCTAAAGTATCAGGGGAAAAAGCAGGAGCATTACAGCAAAACTGGGAGGATGATTTGTGGATGTAATAGGAACCAGAAGCTCCACATGGAGCCTGGCCAGATTGGCAAATATCCCCATGGAAAACCAAAGGCTATTTTTGAAATGATGGACCAAAGTCTGCCTTGGTCTGCACGGTCCAGCTATAGGTTGTCTCTGAGTCTTGGGGAGCTCAGCCTGCCATGAACATGGACCACTGATTTCACTAAAGAAGATGCTGTTCACATCTTTTTGCAGAGATCCACCCGGAAAGAAGGTTGCAAGGACCGTTTGGACCTGGTCTACAACCTGCCTGACTCTGAGGGAAAGGAGCAACTTACAGCAGTATGGAGCTTCCCTCCCCAAATTCCAGGTTATCACACCCCTCTCTGCAGAAATTCTCTGTAATATCTGGGCACCTTTCAGATGCTACACAAGTAACCCTAAAACTGAGCATGGGTTTAAGCTTATTAGTCATTGTTTCCAGTGAATAACCTTTAGAAAATTAGCAGAAATGTCTGCAAAGTGGTTTTCAATTTTCCATTTTAAGAAAGAGAAACAATCTTTCCTTCCCTTCCCCCCTTTTCCTTTTTTTATTTTATTTTTTTTTAAATTCATACAGCAGTTCTGTCATTAACACTCTGGCTTTTTCTTTTTCAATGTAACCACCAAAAAATGGAAATGGGAGTACTAGAACAACAGAAAATGCCAGGTTTTTGTCTTGTAGAACGCTTCCCATTTCCTACCAGCTCTGGTCACCACCTGCCAGTGGGACCCACACGGGGAACTCGGCCATGGTGTGACCTGCAGGACATCACCCAGCCCTGAGCAGGGACTGGAAGGAGCTGGGGGTGTCATGGGGCTCCTCACACCAAATATCACCATCCTTGGTCTTCAAAGGCAGTTCAGAGCAACAAAACAGTCTGTTCCTTCACAGTTCCCTCCAGCAGGGAAGGATTTTTGTTTCAAGTGGATGATGTAAAGACCCTTCCAGCTGCTATTTCTGCACGTGGAACCTCAGTCACCCCTCACTGACACCCAAGTTAAGCCATTTCTGCCCTTCTCTCACTCAGGTGGTTAAAGCTCCCCATTTTCCACTGGATGATGGGAAGTGTCTGTCACTGTTGGGATAAGCTGAAATAAAGCAGCCACAAAGGAGACCTGGTACTTGTCTGCAAGAGGCAAGGAAGGCTGAAAAAGCTTTTTCTTCCTGATAAGGTTGGATTTACACCTCAAGGAGAGCTGATAGTGAGCATCATATAAGTGACCAGGACTATAACTGTGTTTCCTCAAGGAGCAGATAAAGCAAGGAAAGGCATGTTGGCTAAACACAGTGCAAAAGGTTAAGCAGAAGAGAATCTGTTAAGGCTGAGTTTGCTTTTAGTCTCAGCTGATGGCAGTTCCTGGGGAGAAATCCTGGCTTGATTCCCTGCAGGAGCTGAGCATCCTCTGGCTCTGATGGACCAAGGCATTGGCAGGGCCTTTGAGTACATGGAAAAAAACCACCTGCAAGTCCCACGAGCCACAGGCTCCAGTCTGGAGGCCAGAGCAGAAACCCCAAACTCACTCAACACACCAAAGGACAGTGTTGGCCCAGCAGTTGCTGATGAGTGAGAAGGGGAGGACGAACAGGGGAAGCTTCCTGCTCGTTTTGGGTCAAGAACCTGAGAGAATCAGTGCGTAACTGAATAAATTTGGAATGCAGAGAGTGCCAGGAAAAAGCATGAGCCACATCAAACAGCACCTTCAGAGCTCACCACGCTTCATGAGCATCATTCCACACGGCCACTACTTTCCCATTTCCTTTTCAAACCCAATCAATCACCCTGCCCAAAGTTCATCCTTCTCTTGTTGTACCAGTGGCAGTTTGAAAATTAGGGAAAAACGGAGGGACCCAATTTTGGGGCAATGAGAGCCCCAGGGAGCATCCAAGCTCCAGCACAGTGACATGGGCTGAGCAGCTCAGCGGTGGGGGAAGGAGGAGAGCTCAGGGGGTCGCCAGACCATTCATCTTTGTTTCATTAACAGCAAGTGCACAGCACTGGTGGATACCCCGTGTTAACACTTGTAAAAAAGCAGACAGGAGTAAAAACTTTGTTAGCAAGATTCCCAGTCAATTGACCTCATCCCTCGGCGCAAAACAATAAAATGGGCTAATTTAGCCCAGCAATAAAAAGCCCCACTATCTGAACTTCACAAAAGATGCACAAAGCTGTGCTGTCAAGAGCCTCATTTCTTTGATTTAAAAAGCCGCCCCGCACTGGGGCGAGCCGTGCTGGGAGGGTCGCGAGCCCTTTGTGTTCTCTCGAGTGTGGTGCCGCTAATAAATTGCACCAGGAGCTCCCTGCCCCGGCCCGGGCTGACAAAGGGGCAGCCAGCCCCTCTCCCCTTCCTCCCTCAAGTGCCTGTTTGTTTCCCCTGTTATGGTTACACAAACCACCCAAAGCCTGTCTCCTTCCCATGTCAGCATCAGCTTTTTTCAGCGGCGATAACGAAGGTACGATTAATTCGCGCGCACGGAGCGCTGGCAAGTTTTCCAGGGAGCCTTTATAAGACAGAGAACTTACAACTGCATCAGTAAAGCAATCAAAGAACTTTACCAGCCAAATCATTTTAAGACTTATTTTCAAGCAAAGAGGGATCTAAGTCAGGGAGCAGGTCACTAAAACTCTGGTGTTGCTTTGAAGGGGAAGCACAGTGTCCTTCACCCTCAGCCACATGCACAAGGCAGTGGGTGAAGTTCTCTCTTGGCACATGAATGAGTTGGCACAAGTTCTCTCTTGGGCATATCTGGGCACTCAGGACTCAAGAAAGTCCTCCAGTAACTGGGATAGTTTGTAGCATGTGATGGTTTTGGTCTAGCACAGTTGTGGCCCTCGCCCCTCCTATGTCAGCACAGTGAGTTCCCAAAAGTCAGAGGTAGGATAAGGGCTCAGAGCACCTCTGAGCATCATCCCAGAGTGCCTTGTTTGAACTCAGCTGCTCCAGAAAAGAAGCCAAGCTGCAGCAGAGGAGTCAGACGAAGCCTCATCATCCCCACCAGTCCCTGTACCTGTGTACAAACCACAGCTGTGCTTTGCTGGTTCGACAAAGAATTTCAAGTGGAGAATAAAAAAGGTCGATTGTTTTGGGTTTTTTTTTAACCTGAAAATAACCACTATTTCATCCATCAGAAGAGCTAGCTTTTAAAAAAGGGGGATAAATCACATTTCGACCTTTATTCCTAGAGCTTCTTGTGAAGAGGAAGAGGCAGGACAGCACATTTATGAAAATGATTGTGAACTGTGAGGCTTTTATTTGCTCCACCAAACAGATGTAAGTGTTGACTGTCAGGACCAGTAAGAATCTGTCTGACATTTATGGTAAAGCCATTTGTGCCTGATGACTCATTTGCTTTATGGATTAAGTTCCATCAAGCCAGTTTAATTCAACTCCCCAGCCAGCTCCCAGACAAGACTGGAAAAGCTCTTTCTGGAGCATTTTTTAACACTTATTCTATATGCGTGCAAAAAATGTCACATCACTTCCAATGACATCAACTTCAGTAACTTGGAGAAATCGTTGTGGTTCAACAAAAAAAAAAACTCAAAAAACAGCTGGCCTGGATAATCAGAGTGACTTCATCTGGCATTGGCAGCAGCTCCATAAATACTGGGATTCTTCCGGGCTCCCACTGCAATGCACTGATAATTAACTGGACTGTTGGTTTAGTGCATTACCCAAAAGTCTGAGAGACAGCATCCCTAAGAATAAAGGCAGCTTGGTGTGCTTTTCTAAACTCCTGCTTTTAAATTGGACAAACACAGGCCTGGGATATACAACTGTATCAAAAAAATCTACCAGATTGTTGGGAGTAACTGAGATATTGCTGAGTTTTATTTTAACAAACTCACTGGTTCCATAAACCCAAACCCAGGCTGAAGAGTGGCAGAGGTTCAACGCAGCTCTGTGATGAAGTGAAAGCTCAGAGAGCTTCCAAAAAACCTAATCTGTCTCAGAGACAGCCTGCCAGCCCTCAGATGTTC